TTCAACAGCTCTCCAATATCCATCTTAAAGTTGCATCTTATATCCTCAAACTACACAATTTAAACTTAGGCATATATATAGTGTAGACTTTCTGTCACAACAAGACTGTAACCCATAGTAACAAACACAAACAGAACCCCTAACGTCTGCTAACAATTTTCTTCTGATCCTCATATGAGCCCTGTCTCTAAAAACTCAACTGAACTAGCGTTTTGGTGTGTGCAAAAGCTTTCAGGCACGCACATTCCCTGCCCCGTTAGTTGCCTGTCCCTTCAAAATCAAACTAACAGTCAAGGACAAAAAGTCATACACCAAATGAGCATTATATTTTTATAAATTGTTTTACATCTCTTTACTCTGTAAAATGTGCTAAAAATTAAATTTCTTGTTTCATTGAAAATTTCTTGTTTCATTGATAAATATTAGAGATTTGGTGGAATGACAGGCTGAGTGCCACCCAGTAAATTTTGTTTTACTTAATTGGTAACTCGGTAATCTGCTGATGCACATCTGGGGCACACCTCGGGCACACCTGGGGCACAAACTCGGGCACACCTCGGGCACACCTCGGGCACACCTGGGGCACAAAGCACACCTCGGACACACCTCGGGTAGAACCACCTGGGGCACACCTGGGGCACACCTCGGGCACACCTCGGGCACATCTCGGGCAAAATTCGGGCATGGTAATTGGGAAACCTTGGGAAAAGAACCTGGGCACATCTCGGGCACATCTCGGGCACATCTCGGGCACACCTCGGGCAGAACCACCTGGGGCACACCTGGGGCACATCTCAGGCACACCTGGGGCACATCTCGGGCACATCTCGGGCAAAACCACCTGGGGCACGGTCATTCAGGGCAATGAATTATGGCTGGGCTACTAACCTCAATGATATCATTTATTACCTACTTATATTTGCGATAGTATTATACTAGTATTATACTATCGCAATATAATATATATGAGCAATATAATTTTCAGAGACACATATCTAATATCTATTTATTAACGAACAAGTGAAAAACTGTCCATAACTGTACATAATAATTTCATTAAATTGTAAGCAATATATTACATAATCAATCGGTATATTCACAAAACTATTAAACACATTCTAATCAAAAATTCTACGCATTAACTGCGGGAGCTCCTGGTTAAAATATCTTCTGACGGAAGGGCCGGAGCGGGTCAGGTGGTTCCTTCTCAGCCAGATGAATTCAGCAAGGGCGATGTAGAGGGCTGAGGAGTCTCTTCGCGTCCTGCCGTGTCCTTGTAGCATGTGCCTCTTGGCGTGAAACCACATGCCCTCACATGTATTCGTATGAACACCGGTGACGGGGTCGACGAAGCCTCTGCTGTGGTTTACGACCAAGTGGGTGTAGCCGTGGTGTCGGAGGGCGTTGTACCCCTTCCACTTGTCGGTAAGGATGATGGTCCCAGGAGCGACGTGTTGCTTGATTAGACGAAGAAGAGTGTGGTGGTTCCGTTTGTTGTCTGTGCACTCCACCAAGAAGCATTCGCCGGTAGTTCTGCAGTAGCCTCCAACGATCCACTTCCCGATCACTCGTCGTCCACGGTGGTACTTCCGTTTGCCGAACTTCGACTCGTCGATCTCCACGATGTGCCCGCGTCCTCCAATCTTCCTCGTTGCTCCGTTCTCGAGAAGGTCCTCCACCATACACTGTCGAATAGCTTTGTAAAGGGATCGCACTGTTTTCTCGTTCATCGACAGGATTCTGGCTGCATCAGCAACGCTGGTACCGTTGACGAAGATCCAAAGTAGGTGGAGGAAGTTGATAAAGGTAATGTTGCGGTGGTAGAGGACACTTCCTGCTCTGACAGAGAGGTGGTGCTGACCGCCAGGACAGGACCAACAGTAGCCATCGCTGTACTTTGTGGAGGCGCAGGATCGTAGCTCCATGTAGGTGTGGCACTCTGGACAGAAACGGTTAGGACGTAGGAGTTCCACATCGAGGCAGTACTGTAGAGCTGTGGCTTCTGAAGAGAGGACTCCAGTTCTTCTGAGATCTTCGTAGGAGAGGAAAGTGAGAGCCATATCGAATGATAGTATTAGCTGTTTGCTCATGTTTATATATCTCGACTGGAATTTTGACTGCTTGCTGGGACGTCACAGAAGAGTACCTTATATTTGTCACGATCGCAAGACTTTGTTGTTCTTCTTATCGCGTCACATAACTAGATCAAACATTCCGATTACCACCGAACAGTCGATGAGGCGAAGGCATTTTGATTTCTTGCCATAGCGTCACGTGAGAGGGGCTGCAAATACTCACCACGTGATCCATGTTATCGTGTTATGGCTACCATCTTGTTGGGCCATGCGATCCATGCGATCAATGCGATCCGAACCGTGAATTAACAAGCTCTGATCCCGAAACCCTCGGGTATAAAGGTTGTTATCACATAGGTTCCTCATTCCAGTTTTCGTTCTACTACCACAACATATCTACTACTACTCATCATGCCTACACGATCCGGACTTCGACTATCCCGACCTATTCCTCCCCCAACTTGCAGTCATTGTGGCGCACGAGGTCATATCAACACAGTGTGTCCACGATCCTCCTACTCTCCTGTTATCCCAGCCCTCACCTGCCCCCACTGCATCCGAACAGTCAGAAGTGGACAGAGTAACGAGCCAGACGGTACGCAGATAATGGTTACGATAGACCCCTGCGATACACACTCCTCTCCTGTCCTCAGACCGTCTCCCCCTCCCACTCACACCCCTGCTGCTCCTACAGCACCTGTGGTTCTTCCTCCTCCTCCCCTCGACCTGTCGTTCCGGTAACCTCAGCACATGTTCCAGTTCCCGCTCCCGCTCCGGCTCCGTTACTGTACCAGCTCCGGCTACTGTTCCTGCTGCTGTTCCGGCTGCCGCTCCTGTTCCGGCTCCCGCTAACAGCTCCCACCGGTCCTGTTCCGGCCCATTATCCTGGTTCGAGCCGCACCTTCACCATCGACCGGAGAAGTTTCAAAGTACGACAGGATCCTGGCACGTGTCCGGAATGGTGCTACGAAGAAGGAGGCACTCGCTGCAGAGGGATATCTGAGTCCTTTTTCGGCAGGAAGAGCTGCATAGCAGAGGCAGCGAGGATTGACCTACCTTCTCTCCGACATGGACTCCTCCAGCTGATAAATCCCACGCTTAAAAACCTTCTACCAGTGGCCAGGGATATCTGCAACCGGAACCAAACTGTGCTTCGCACACTCCACGCTTCAGGAGAAGCACTCCCTCCCAAGAGGATATACTGATTTATTTTGTAGTTACAGTAATACTTATAGTTTTTAATGGTTATGAGATGTTCCGATTGATACTTTAATAATATAATATTGCTTACCTATTAAATTTATTAGATACATTACGAACAGATCAATCGTATTTTTCAATTGCTCGTTAATAAATAATTTTTTTTAATAATAAAATTGTGTCCCTGAAAATTATATTGCTCATACATATAGTTTAATACTGTCACCAATATAAGTAAAATAAATAATGATATCTATCATCATAGTAATAAATAATAATTCATATTGCCTGAATGACCGTGCCCCAGGTGGTTTTGCCCGAGATGTGCCCGAGATGTGCCCCAGGTGTGCCTGAGATGTGCCCCAGGTGTGCCCCAGGTGGTTCTGCCCGAGGTGTGCCCGAGGTGTGCCCGAGATGTGCCCAGGTTCTTTTCCCAAGGTTTCCCAATTACCATGCCCGAATTTTGCCCGAGATGTGCCCGAGATGTGCCCGAGGTGTGCCCGAGGTGGTTCTGCCCGAGGTGTGCCCGAGGTGTGCTTTGTGCCCCAGGTGTGCCCGAGGTGTGCCCCAGGTGTGCCCGAGTTTGTGCCCCAGGTGTGCCCCAGATGTGCATCGGCAGATTACCGAGTTACCACTTAATTAATTTACAGTATGACTACGTCCACTGGACAAATATTTTGTTATTCTTAAAATTTAGTTTTATGTTCTGTTTCACATAAAGCTATAATAATAATGAATACTAAATTCATAATTATTATGATTGAATGAAGTTATATCCCTTGGATCTGGCTGGAATGTAAGGCGCAGCATTACCAAAATTCACTTTTTATGCAATGTGTACATAAATTACATTTATGAAGGAGCACATGTTTTCCTTTATGAGACCTGACAGTTGACACCTGACACGAGAAACCTACCTACCTACCCCACTCATCCTCATTTTTTAGCAGAAAAGGTTGATGGAAAAATATAAATCTAGAATCTGTTCACAAATTTACAGTTCAACTGTGAACCATTTCAATAAAATAGAACATTAGTTCAACACCTTCATAAATAGGAATAGTCAATTATTTCATAAGATTTATAAATCAAGAGGCTTGCATATAATGAACATATTGACACGGGTGCAGAGTTGAGTCTGTACAGAACCTAGTAGTTTCAGATCCTTGTTTAACTTGCCGTACAGCAAGGTCAACCACTACTTTACCCCGGCGAGGCAGATAACTCCCTCTACAACTCCATATCAAATGTTTCATATATACTAGCCAAGTTCACAAGATATATCCTTGTGTTTGAGAAGCAATTTTATTCTTTCCTCGTTTTTTGACGATTTTTTCAGGTCCAAGATTTTCAAAATGGAATAAAAAATGTTCCAAGGCCTATCTCAAAATTCTGGCCCGACAATCTCTTTTCAATGGTCCTTAGAACATATCCTGAAAGTTTCAGGGTGATTGCTCAAAAAATTTAGGAGAAGATAGATTTTTAGACTCGATTTTCAGGGCGCGATTGAAAATCGCTCGCGTAATACAATTACACATAAGCGCTGACCTTTGACCGCCAATAATTTCGGCTAAGAGCAATATTTTTCCATGGGACCAAAAACATCTGATAGATATCACTCCCCTCTATCAGAAACAACTATAAAGTCAATTTAGACAGAATTTTGAATTATTTTTTGGACTTAAATAATACTATTTAATTATTATTTCTCTGAATCTCTAGGGTCAATGTCAAAGTCAAAGCTCAAAAGGACAAGATCTAAAGCTCTATACATTGATAGTGAAGTGAGCAGTGATAAGCTGCAAGATGACATTACCTGCAAAGGATGTTTCAAAGAATTTACACCAAACAGAATTCCAAAGATTTTGAATTGCTTGCACAACCTCTGCTCAGAATGCATCAACATGTCAATAGAATTAAATTCCGACAAGAATAAAGTCTTATGCCCCACGTGCAAGAATCACTCTGTTGGAAAAGATGCTGAAACATTTCGAACTCATTCATATGTACACATGTTATCAGACATAGCACAGTGTTATCGTAACCAGATGAGTGGATCTTTGAAATGTATTGGATGTAATAATGTAGCTGGTCTACGATGCCTAACCTGCAATGAGAATTACTGTCAAGAACATACAGGTTTGTTACTTAGTTTCAAATAAACCAGTCATTTTTCATTTAAACATTTAAACTTCATTTAAACATTTATATATTATATATAGACAAGGAGTTTTTAACTAAAGGGAAGGAATATTTATAGTAGCTTTTGATCTAAAATATGCTGATCCATTTACCTACGTTTTCAGAAGGTATTCCATCATAAGCTGTCAATAAAGCTTTAAGGCAGGAGGATTTAGATTTGGTCCTGTTTCTGTACATTCTATACTTATTTAATGACTTAATCAATTTCAGATTTCCATGTTAGGAGTAGAGCAACATCACACCACAAGGTGTTGTCATTTAAGCAGATTTTGAATGCTCCATTGATCGTGAGCACAATAAAAAGAGAAGAGCACTGTCCAAATCACAAAAAAAAAGTTCTGGAATTTTTCTGTTTTACATGTAAACTCCCAATTTGTACTGTTTGCGCTCTTGCAAATCACAAAGGCTGTATCTATGAGGAATTATCTATTGCAGTTTCTGCTCTTAAAGAGAAGTTTGATAACCTCAAACCGGCATTCAATCGAAAAGCTTACAATTTGAAAAAGATGACATCTACATTGGACACTGGAATGAAGCAAGTTGAAGGTGATTTCGGACACAGCATGGCCAATGTTAGCGATGTTACAGATAAGATCATGCGACAATTGAGACAAAAAGAATCTGGTATAAATCTACAAATCGAGGATCATGTAAGTCTAGACATAACTGTGAATAATATATAAAATACCTTTCGTTGTATTGAAGTGTTGAATGTCGTTGAGTACTTTAGCAAATATATTTTGTACAGTATAAAGTGCAACATTTATCAAGAAGGCTTCCCATTTGTTAATTAGACTTAAAAACAATCTTTATATCTCCATAGCAACGTTCCTTCTTTGCAGATGATATGAGTTATGTAATGAGATACTCGTTACGTTACCTGTAAACTGTAAGTGTTTGTGAAGCCCAAGATTGAATATTTTCTTCAATATGCTAACGTGATAATACTAAATTAAGAATACTCTTGTTGAAGCCTTGATGTGTGATCATCAGTAGACAAGAACTGTTTCAAATTTTGGTCGAAACGTAAGACTAAAATCTTCATGAATCATCCAGCCTTTAAAGCGGGTTTTATATCTGAGACCGGAGACGTCAATGAAGACCATTAATTATTGCATCCGATATAAAGTTAACTGAAATAATAACTAATAATTTTATTATCTCCAGTATTCCGTTTCCGCATGAAAACATGTCCAGGTGAGTAATCTGAACATGCCCAAAATCTTAGTGTCATTGTGAAACCGAGTATTTGTATTACTTGGATATCCGATCCTGATCATTAGTATTTCAGAGAAAAGATAGTCAGGGTGAACTGCGCATACATCAGTCGCTCGTTGAAGATAAGATAGCAAACCTTGAGTCAGGTACCGACTTCGTAGATACAGTGTTTGAGTATTGGAGTCCACTTGAAGTCCTCTCTGTTGAAAATGATATAGGTGAGACAACCGAGGTATAGCGCCTCATTTAAAAGAAAGATAAGCTGAGAAATGGATTTAATGTTTTGAATTAATAATAAATATTAGTTTTGGTTTAATTTAATCTGACCTATAAAATGATACCAAAATGATACCAGGAAATCATAGTTGAAACAATTTTACACTTCAATATTATTATTAAACTTAAAGCAATATAATAACTTATATTATATAATAATGTAAATCCAACCTTTTCAGTTAAACGATTAACAGAACTATCTGCTGAACCAGAAGAATTTGGCTGTGACAGTATAAAACCAAAAGCCTTTGATTTACCTCCTGACTTAGAGACCAATGTTGTTGATGCTATAGGTTTCTTGGAGAATGGTGCAATGCCTAAAAAGGAATAATGACTTTAAAAAGTGTGACTTGAGATTCTTTTTAATATCATCTGATCAATGACCTAAGAAGATTTTATCCAGACTTTATTCAGTACACTCCGTCTTTACAACTTTACTACTCTAATATTAACAATCAGATGTTGGGATTCTAATATGAGGCATTGAAAAAGTGTAAACTTGTTTCACGTGATATGCCATGGTATCTTTTACAGAACTCGCCTAACAGTTGTGAACTTTAATTTAGTGTATCTTTACTCTATAGTCCTTTGCGTGTTTATATAACAAAAGTATCATCTTGATCAGAGACTGTACAATAATTATTTACGTGTAGTTTTGTGCTGAAAGTTACCTACTTTGATTTTTCTTGATATAATCTTTTTTGTTAATAACCTGTAAATAACCTGTAAATAACCTGTAAAATTGACTCCTCCATATTATACGGGTTTTATTTAGAGTAATCAACTAATGGATGAATCATTTGAATTAGATGAGAGTTAGGAAGATTCGTCAATTTTGAAAGTATTTGCATTACATTTATCATACTCAATTATATGAACTTTCAGTGAGGACTGAATGTAACAAACAGTATTTTTAACAGGATGCAATAATCCAACGATACTAGGTCTGGCTGCATAAACTCGACAATGTCGAGTCGACATCGATATATCAGTCAAAATGTGCACTTGTAAAAACTGAGGACTATAATAAAAATGATGATTATAAAATTGTTATCTTGCTAATGGGTGCACCTGAATCAGACAAACCAACTGTCTTCAGGCAAATTACTATCTTACACGGAGAGAAGTTCGACAAAAGAGATTTAGAGATATTTGCTAATATCATTATAAGGAACACATCGGATTCGATTTACACTATCTTGGAGTTTATTTCCACTTTAGATCCACCAGTTCCATTTGAAGACTCTTATGATTCTGCTGATTTACGTGCTTTCCTAGAATACTACAGAAAAAACAGCTCTGATGTAAAAATTTTGGACGATTCGTGGGACTTAGTTGAACATGTCTATAATTGTCTGTTCAAATGAGCTTCTACGGAAATATTTCCAAAAATTTTACTATTTAACGAGAACTATTTACTAGAGACAGCTATTTACTATTTTCTGGATAATATCGGCAAAATCCGCGATTCCTTGTACACACCAAGTCATGATGATATGTTGAGGTTATATATTTTAACGGCCAGGTAGCGCAGTTGGTTAGAACGCCTGTCTTACAATCGTTAGGTTGCGAGTTCGAAACCCACTGACTGCCTGGTCGTGGGGTGAACGTCGTCGACGTTCAGCTAAGGATCATGAGTGGTCTATGCAGCCCCCCGGTCTACTCAGCCGAATACTCGAGAAATCGGGTGTGAGGGTTAAATGAGGAGCTGCACATTGCAGCAAAGTCTCGGACGAAGAAAGTATGGTACACACTACCTTAACCGTCACTGGCCAAAAAGATCCTTCGGCTTCCTGTAATTGGCTGGTTGCACTTGTGTAACATTGTGGCTGTTGGAATACACCGAAGTAAAATAAGTGTCTAGATAAAAAAAAATATGCTAGAACTACAGGATTCAATTCTAATCAGCACTACTCCAAGGTAAATCTCGTTGATTGTGGTAGTAAACCTGCAAAATGGGTTCACTGTTTTAATGTCGAAAGGGAAAAATTAATTGTTTACTGCGTTGCTTTGTGTGATAATAACCTGAGGTCGTTTAAAGACACAGGTGTTCTTTGGGGTGTTACACAAAAACTTAAAAACGTTATGGAAAACACGATTTTTACCCCCCCCCCCCCCTCTGGCCTTAACTATTGACTATTGACTATTGACTATTGACTATTGACTATTGACTATTGACTATTGACTATTGACTATTGACTATTGACTATTGACTATCGACTATTGACTATTGACTATTGACTATTGACTATTGACTATTGACTATTGACTATTGACTATTGACTATTGACTATTGACTATTGACTATTGACTATTGACTATTGACTATTAACTATTGACTATTGACTATTTACTATTTACTATTTACTATTTACTATTGACTATTAACTATTAACTATCAACTATTAACTATTTACTATTTACTATTGACTATTAACTATTAACTATTAACTATTAAATATTAAATATTAAATATGCTCATAACCAGCTTTAGAAAAGTGCTAACAAATTACAACTAAACATGTAACGAAAAACATAATCATTAGCAGCTAATGAGCTAATGGCAGATTGGCATGGTGTGAACTTTAAGTCAAAGGGCCACATCGAATTTAATCAAGGTTCTACACTACCTTATGTGTTGGAACTTCACCGAATCGAGGGACTCTCTAAATTAAAGGTATGATCATTACAAATACAATTAAATGCAATCAATTATTTAATTATCAATCCTTTCAAGCTTATGAAAATGATAAAACGTTCTTTTCCTAAAAATTTGGTTCAGGAAGGTGACAAGGGAAAGTACTAAAATTTGTATAAGTGGTTAAGAATTGTAAATATAATGTCTCAATGTTCCTCAATATAATAACTCAATAATTCAAATGTCCTAGGTCTTTAACTATAAACTCCTGCTGTATTCCAACCAAAAAAGGGTAACCTCCCTTCAATAGCCCCACTCTTAAGTATCCCCAGAAAGTATAAACAATCTCCCACTCTCCCTAGCAATCTATAAACAATTCCTAAACTATCCTTCTAGTAACCAAAACAGAGGTGTTAAACTGAACTCTCTGATAACCAAAACAGAGATGTTAAAATAAACTCTCTGCTCCCCAAAACTCTCTGCTCTAAACAATATCTTAAACTATCCTCCTATAGCCAAAACAGAGGTGTTAAACTAAACTATCTGTACTACCCTGCGCCTGCTGTACTAAATGTCGTACACTAATATATGCCCTAAAATACTAGCCTAACATACTGGACAAATACTGACATGCATATATAAACTTATAATATAGAAACCAACGTTAATCAAGATTAGGATCTAAACAGTTTCAAGTCTATTGCCATTAGGGCTCCACTTCTCGCGATCTCCTCTGCGCATCCCTTCGTCTTCCCTTCGTATTCTTCTCTCTCCACGTCCTTCTTCACGGTCCTTTCTTATCAGTCGTCTATCTTTACTGTGTCCACCGATTCATTGTTGTAATAAAGTGTTATTAGACTATGACCAAAATTGTTATTTTGGCAAATGCCAAAATGACCCTACAACAAAAATATTTTAAAATTATTACTATTATGAATAAATAAATTTGTATCTCATGTTAGAATAGTCATATCACTACTTTATTACAGCATTTGGATAACAATTGGAACTTTCAGAGTAATGTGGAGATAACCTTACTTTTGTACGACGGTGTTAAGTGTTGCTGTTTTGGTTCTGCCTGGAAGAGCTTGTCTCTACCCCCTCCATTTGTGATAAACCAGGTTAGATAATAGATTATATGTCTCTTTTCATATTGAACAGAGACATCTCATATCTAATAATAGTAAAATGACACATCCCACTTTCTCATTATTAAGGTGCATACCAATTACCAACGGCAACAAATATTTGAAAAGAGTATAATTTTCAGGAGTTAGTTTTCCATTCAGAGATCACAACTTCTACGATACTTCTTTTAGAAATAGTTCAAATTGGTGAGTGTCTCTGCTATGGATAATGTTCCCTTTTAACATCTAACTAGACAGTTTTAATTTCACCATGCATTCGTGCATTTTCTTAGTTAGGAGCATAATTCTATTGCGCTAACTTCTGTTTGTTCACATTGTTTTAAGAATACGGTTTGAATGAGTTTTCAACAGATGGAGCGTACAAGAAAAGCACAGTTGGGTGGACCTGTTTTAAAATGTTGGATAAGAACTTGACGAACAAGAAGATGGATATTTACCACGGTTCCCTGAGAGCTATATTCTTCTTAAAGGAACCATCAGTGGCTAGTAAGAGCTCTCTGTATTATCATATAATGATATTATATTATGTATACCAACAGGGTTAAATTTGGTGGGAACATTAGCTGATCCCAACGTTATTAAAAGGGATCGAAACAACTTGATATATCCTGAAACCAGTCTGTTTCAGATGCGCAACTGCTGCGCAACGAAGGAGTGGGTATTACACTGACACTGACACAGCGCAGTGCAGTGCGCGGCCTTACCTCCCACATACCTTCCAACTATTTCCACAACCCAGCACAACTCAGCAAGATTAACAGAACCATCGCCCCTGTCACTCTGTTCCTGGAGGAAGTTGAGGTTTATATTATTATTACTCCTTCGAATATGGCATATCATCGTGATATTAGAGACATTTTAAATCCATTGTTTTGTCAGAGCTGGTGTAAGAATGAGCCTTAAGAGTCCTCTAACTCCTTCCCAACACATATTTCTAAATGTGACAAACTCAGGTATCATTCGGAGCTCATATAAAGAAGTTTGAAGATTATCTTCTCTTTCTGCTGATGACAGACGCAAAGCAGCAAAACACTAATATTAGGCAGTTTGATAAGGTATGATAAGATTTGAAAACATCAAACTTTGACAAGTTAATTTATTTGGCTATATAAATTTATTTGGCTATATGAATTTATTTGGCTATATAACACATGCTATTAAAAGTGTTGGGAAATTTCATCAAATCCCATTCTATAATTTTAAATTTCGTCAAAAATCTGTTCGTATAATTTATCAGAATTAACCACCTGCTGTCTCAATTAATAAACTCTAGAGTAGGGACTGTGCCTATGGGACCTCAATTAGACGAATTAACTCTAATTAAGAGACTTCTTGATCTAACAAGTTGAGAACTCTCGTAAAATTTCAACTTGTCACTTTTCGATTGTATCCGAATCGTTTTACCAATTACCATGGTAATATCAACTGCTTATCTCCAATTAATGATGACGCCATCGCTTTGGGGTGTCATAATTGTTAGATTTCTGGACCTAAACTTCTTATTCCTTGTTTGTAATATCTTCATACTGGTCAAAAGGCCATTTGACCCAGTCAAAAATGTTTCAATGGTATATCTGTCACTGTTTTCGCGGAAAGTCGTGTTAAAACTTAAAGTTGGTCATGACTTGGTGTCAATAAAATGGTAACTATATATATATATCGTCTCGCTTTATATATAAATAAGATTTTGCCAATAACTGCACACTTAAATTACGTTATCCAACCTTGTAGAGTTATTAACGCTAATCACTGAACGGCTTTTTCTTTGGGACACCCTAACAAGTGCGAATAAGATAACAAAAACTTAGAAGACTTGAACTTGACCTAAATTGAAACGTCACTCAGTGCTGCAACAGGAAATTAATACGCTAAAACCACCTGACCCGGTAAATATAAAATATCTGGCAACCAATATGGACCAGATAGCGTAACTTCAGATACTAATGTATCTGAAGGTAAGTGAGAAAACTGATTGCAAATTATCTGATTTGTTATCGTGCTTCATTTCATTCCGAACCATGTTGCAGTGCGTAGTACTCCTTGTGTTGGCAAATATTTGCAGGTGAGACTTCGATATTTGTTGTACTTAAAGAAACCTTTAAATCTGCATCATAACCATCATCTTGGTTACTACCATTACATAATTAGTTAAGTTATTGATTGGCCTGTTAGTAAATATTATGGGCTTTGCACCTGGCCAGGGTAGTACACTCGTTTTGATTTAAATTAAGCTTGAATATCACGTACCTAATTTTAACAACCTCAAGCGGCAACCGGTACGAGGCAGCAGATGCGATACAGTTTGCGATATTCGGAGGAGACGATACACCTGGCAGTGAAACTCAAGCCCCTGATGTGACTCAAGCCCCTGATATGACTCAAGCCCCTGATGTGACTCAAGCCAATGCCATCCTGGCAGACATGGACAGCGTGACAGAACCGCAGCGTGACAGAACTGAAGCTGCAGATGAATCTTTCGACGACCTCTCATCTACTGATACTGGAGACTCTCAGAGTCTTACAGAGTCTGACTCTGTCTCACAATCTCAGACTTTTGGAACAGAGCACCACTCACACACTTCACCATACATCGCTACCCATGCAGCTACAGCTACCCGTGCTTACCAAGCTGCCCAAACAAGTGCTCGGCGAACAAGTGCATTGCGCATTGTGCATGCTGCCCAAGCAAGTGTTCGGCGAACAAGTGGCTATGCGCATGCCACCCAAACAGGTGGCCCTCATAATGTTGGTCACATGCAGGTATGGGCAGGACCACGTAACAGCCAGTATGGTAGCCATGGTACCAGGGCACCTAGGAGGAGAACTACTAAACCTACTACTACTACCCCACCACCACGTGGACCGAGGAAACCCGCCTACTCCGGCAAGTCTTACTCATTTGCTCAGCTGAGTTCAATGAGCGCCCAGTCAGCTCCTGGTCAGAAAGGTATGTTCTACATGCCCACAGAATACGAGCAGATCCCCCGAGTTGAACCTTGTCAGGCTGTCAAGTGTCACCTGAGTGTAGTGGTGGTGATGGACTCGTCTGGGAGTGTTGGGTATAGTGATTACCAGAAGGAGCTGTCCTTTGTGAAGACTCTGCTGGAGATACTAGCAGTTAAAGCAGCTGACTCTAAGCTGAAAGTGTGTACAGGCCTTATCTCCTACTCTACTGATGTGCATGTAGAAGTAGACCCCTGCTGTGAGAACAGTATCTGCAGGGTTGTGGACCAGTTCCACGCTGGCAGGCTAGAGTTTAGGGCGGGCTCCACTAACACAGCCGGGGCTCTGAAGGTAGCTAGACAGATGCTACAAGCTGCTGCTAGCCACAAGAAAGTAGCTCTACTTATAACAGACGGGAAGTCTAATACTGGAGGGTCCCCAGTCCCCTTCGCTAAGCAAATGAGGGATGAGGATGGGATCCAGATAGTGGCACTAGGGGTGACTATCGATGTCAACAAAATTGAGCTAAAGGGGGTCTCTGGGATGGACAGGGTAACTAAGATAGATGTGTTCGATGAGTTCCACGAGCTAGCCAGCATCCTGCTCCAAGCTAACAAGGTGGCTTCACAGAACGAGCTAGAGACATCGTTTGATGCCATGTGTTACAATGATAAGACCTTCTACAACAAGGACCAGTGTACTAGAGTCATGACAGAGGAGCAGAAGTCTCAGTGTGTGTGGGGGGAGTGGTCGGAGTGCGACAGAGTAAAAGACAAGTGTCTGCAGCTGAATCAGTGCGAGCTAAGTGGGATTGTGGTAGCTAGAGATGAGCAGGCCTGTGAGTGCCCACCTTGTCAGGCAGGCTTCTACTTGACCCTCAGTGGACATTGTGAACAATGTGGAGCTAACACATACAAGTCCACAGAGGCCACTTCCTGTTCTAGTTGTCCTGCTGATACAGTCTCTGACCCAGGTTCCACGTCCATCACAGACTGTCACCTTGAGTTTGAAATAGTAGATGAACATGGTAATGTAGTGAGCTGGCAGGACTCAGAAGGGCTCCTCCTCTATAACGGAGGAACAGTGTGTGACGACTACTTCACTACCCTCTCTGCTAATGCTATCTGCAAGAGAATGGGGCGACCTCACGGGCTGGCTCTTTGGGCGTCGGGGCTGCATTACTCAGTTCAGGACAGTCTGAGTATTAAACTGGACGATGTTAAGTGCACTACATCGGACTGGGACAAGTGTACTTTCAGGACTACTCACAACTGTGGACACAGTGAAGATGTCCATATCAACTGCATGTCGGGAAAGGAAACTGCCAAACCATCAACTCCTAAGACGGAAGCAACTGAAGGTCCAGCTACAAGACACACTGACCCAGGACACAGCGTGTCAGGCCATGCTTATACAGCTTGAAATGTACTTAATTATATCTTCAACGGTCATGTTGCCACTGATTTCAAATTTATAAGTTATATATTATACAAATTTTTATCATACACATTTTTAATAAAAAATTGAAGAATCTTTTGAATATTTCATTAAAGAACTGATTTAATAAATGGTATTTTGTCTATTAGTGTTTTGATCCAATAAATTCTTTCTTTTTTCTCTTCAGTCTAAGCAAATTAAAGGGATCATGAAGTGTCCCCGACTTAATCGTCAAAACATTTCACATTTACTATCACATAGAAACACTAATATAAGAATAGGGCTCGGAATTCCCATATTCGTAACTTAATTATGTCGCGTGAAATCGATACAGGAAGATCTCTATAATTTGTTGGATTGTGGCAAACTGTCAGACACTGCAATAGAAACAGTGTTAAAATGCACATTTTTATTCATGTGCTGTGGCGCCAATTTAATTGAGGGGTGAGGGGTGAGGGGTGAGGGGTGAGGGGTGAGGGGTGAGGGGTGAGGGGTGAGGGGTGAGGGGTGAGGGGTGAGGGGTGAGGGGTGAGGGGTGAGGGGTGAGGGGTGAGGGGGGGGTGAGGGGTGAGGGGTGAGGGGTGAGGGGTGAGGGGTGAGGGGTGATGGGTGAGGGGTGAGGGGTGAGGGGTGAGGGGTGAGGGGTGAGGGGTGAGGGGTGAGGGGTGAGGGGTGAGGGGTGAGGGGTGAGGGGTGAGGGGTGAGGGGTGAGGGGTGAGGGGTGAGGGGGTGAGGGATCTTGGCCTCTAGTAGCTTGGTATGAGTGTTGAGTAGCCTGGTATGCGAAAATAAACATGTTAGTGTCAAAGTAAGGTGCCACAAACGTAATTCGATGATCAAAATTCATGGCATAAAATGGAAAATTACTCAAGGGTTTTTCCATTTTCTCCATAGAAAAAGTCTCTAATCTCCATTTTATGCCGTTTTATGCCATTTTATGCCATTTTATGCCATTGCCCCCCCCCCGCTAGGACCCAGAGTGGCCAGGCATATAGATCAGTCATGAAACATTAATCTGGACCAACCAGAGGTCTGCCAGAATTTGGGCACAGCAAAGTGTAGGCCGAGAACTTTACTTTGTTCGCAGAATAAAGCATGTATTAAAAGGTGTACATTTTATATCGATCATTTTCAGGTCATAATCAAAGAGAGGCGGCTGAAAGCAAGTATTCACAACGGTCTCAACTTCACCGACCAGTTTCAAGTGGTCTATCTTGAAAATATACACAACACAGTAAGTATTCAGTTTTATTTACTATTTCATTCAGTCTTTTTAATATAATTTTGTACTAAACTAATTAACGGTGAACTCTATCTGTTAAGATCTAACCGTTGACACTTAAGGAATTACAGAGTTTGAAGTCGAAGGGAGTGATAAGTTTGGCAGGTGTGGATCCTAGAAATCACGTGATATTCTCTCTGGAGTATGTGTTGGAAGTTCCCACATCCTTTACTAACTTAACCGTAAGCACTGAAGTCTGAACCTTGAACATGAAATAGTCGATGATAGCGTCTATCCTTTGATATTCTGTTTCACAATTCACTGAGACTGTTTCGGCTTCTAAACCGAGCTGAGATGTAATATATTTACTGTATTTGTGAACCACCACATTTAAATAAAACAAACATGTTTCTTACAGTTGGTATCGTCAATGAGACAGTCGCAAGTACACATCATATCGTTAAGATGGGGAGTTTGGTCGCTTAACAAACATCTGCCGCCCTCTGGTACTATCCTTAAAGTTCCTATTACTGGTGGACCTGGTCTTAATGCAGAGAATAAGCTGGTCTTTACCAGTGACTTCGGGCCGGTAAGAAGTGTACCCATGTATTTAAATTATGCTACATATTATATATTGCATCACTAAAATAAGAACTCTTCCAAACGGTGATCACATAGAGTTTAACGTAGCGCGCAAAGACCATTTTAAAATTTAAAGTTTTAGGCAACATTTGAGACGCGCGTTTTAAAAATTTCCAGTCCTGTGATTGGTCGTCTCCATAGCAATGACACAGTAACCTACATACTTGACTGGCAGATCTCAACGTTCGTACACAACGCACATGTTTTCTATCTAAGAATTACTCATGAAGCGCTTGTTTTTATACTGGACAAAATTATCTGAAAGGTGACACAAGGTCGTCCAACGTCCCTCAAGTTACATTATTATACCGGATCGAAGTTGGTGGATTCATAAAACTTTTATGATAAAAGTAGTACGGCTGTTAATAGGGTACTACATTGTGCTGTGGTGAAAAGTAAGCCATATATTTGATTTACACATGTTTTGATAATTTAGTAGCTGAATTATTCTGTTAATACTAAATTTTGAAACTATGGTTTCTATCAAGGCATTGCCCTAAAGAGTTTACAACCTCTTTAAGTTTAAAACAAGAATTGCGCCCGTTGTTTTGTTTTGGCGGACGCTAGATTTCCATTTCACATTTACTATAAATTTAAGTATAAGCTCCAATCAGCTCACTTCAATCTTCATGATAATAATATTGATAAATTATGCATCAAATACGGGAAACACTTGAAATTCAGATCAATTGCCGTAGAACTTAACTTGTATCTGTAATTCAAGAAATTATCAGCAAAGGTAAACTATACTCGTGTACACATCAATACACTATGCGTGCCACGTACAAATTGGGCGTATTACCTAATAGTAATATTATACATTACATGCATCATATACATTAAAACACAATCGCGCCGCGCATTCATAGATCACAGGCTATCTATACATCACATCTCCGCAAGCAATCCTCGCGCGCGCGCAACTTTTTCGTTGCATGGTAACGGACGGAATGACATCATATTCAGACCCGCCTACTGCTATCTCCAAAATCCACGTTTTTCTGCAAAAACCTCCATTCGTAACCTTTCACTATTGCCTTTTTTCAAAAGGGTGAAAAGGAAAAAATCCTACATAAGCTAATACATTATCAAAACATATAGTCCAATAAGGTCAATCAGAGTTCACACGATACATGGTTATGATCACTGATCAGGTATATCGTTCGTTATATCTCATTTGTCCTTACTAGATACCCCCTTTAAAACAGGATCCATTAAACTGCGAAAACTGGGTAAGCTATCGTTCAATGTTGAATCCATAATTGTATTATAATTATAAATGTTCATAAATACTTACATGCTACGAATCTTAACTGATTGGATTTTTCCTGCCAATTTTTACGTTTGAGTTAATAAACTATGATGATTATATATGACGTTATAATTAAAGACTTGACGAAGTCCACCTGCTTAAAGAATGTCCTGTCTACAAGAAGATCAGACAAAGAAACAGCACAGACCCTCACAACATGCTCACAAATAGTCAATTCAGTAAATTATTTAATGAGGATTACATTGTTGAGACCTGACATTTTGTTTATAATCTATTTCGTGAAAGATTTCCTAAAAGTAAGCTGTGACTTAGTGTCCATATTCCGTGCACACTTTGAAACCATTTCTTTATTTATGATATTATGTTTTTTGTTTGGTTGAATTTTCATTGATTGGGATCTGACACATGTAATTTTGTAATGATCTTTCTAATTTCTAATTTCTAATTTCTAATTTCTAATTTCTAATTTCTAATTTCTAATTTCTAATTTCTAATTTCTAATTTCTAATTTCTAATTTCTAATTTCTAATTTCTAACTTTCTAATTTCTAACTTTCTAACTTCTAATTTCTATGAATTTTACTTGATAGAGTGCTTATCTTAAAGTTAAATGTTTTTACAGGCTCTAATTAAATGATGTAGTTTTACGAAGATTTCAAGCATTACGTTGTGTGTTTCCCTTCGTGTCCAAAATCATTGTATTAGAAATATTAATATTCTTGATCAATTAAATCTGGTTACTGGTTACTGGTTACTGGTTACTGGTTACTGGTTACTGGTTACTGGTTACTGGTTACTGGTTACTGGTTACTGGTTACTGGTTACTGGTTACTGGTTACTGGTTACTGGTTACTGGTTATTGGTTATTGGTTATTGGTTACTGGTTATTGGTTATTGGTTATTGGTTATTGGTTATTGGTTATTGGTTACTGGTAAAACCTGCTGCTATTACCACAGGTATTACCCAATATAAATACTTCAGATGAACGCTAACAAAGACGCTGTGGTGATGTTCAAACTTATAAAACAGGAGGTAACTTGTCATTAGTTTATCTAATTACCGTTCTAATTACTGTTCGGTTTACTATCGGGCCCAGTATTATATCATGCCCACTATTACCGTCGGGCCCAGTATGTTTAGAGATATTTAACACTCTAGTGTGCTAACCACTTCTATAGTTGTATTAATCGTACTCTTTTGCTTTTAGCTACGACTTTTTCTATGTTGCTGGCTTTTTAATTTCTAATTTCCCGCACAAATTAATTAAATGTTAGTGACTAATAATCTGTTCATGATTTTACACGAAAAATGTGCTAAAAGTGTTGGTTTTGAGTGAGTACTCAGCACTGACAAAGTGTTGGTTTTGAGTGAGTACTCAGCACTGACAAAGTGTCGGTTTTGAGTGAGTACTCATCACTGACAAAGTGTTGGTTTTGAGTGAGTACTCAGCACTGACAAAGTGTTGGTTTTGAGTGAGTACTCAGCACTGACAAAGTGTTGGTTTTGAGTGAGTACTCAGCACTGACAAAGTGTTGGTTTTGAGTGAGTACTCAGCAATGACAAAGTGTTGGTTTTGAATGAGTACTCAGCACTGACAAAGTGTTGGTTTTGAGTGAGTACTCAGCACTGACAAAGTGTTGGTTTTGAATGAGTACTTGACTCAGTACTGACTCACTAAATGTCACCAGGCGGACATGATCTACCAGAGCGCCAAGCTAGAGCTTACCTTTCAAGACACGGGTATTCAAATTGATCCAGAGGAGCGAGCGCCCCTTAAGAGCGTCCTGACTGAAACTGTGGAGAGTTTCAGTATCCCCGTTATAACTCCAGCTACAGCACCAAGACAGCAGAAGGTGGCAATTGAAACAGATGGGAGACAGATGGAGCCGCTTCTCGGAGACAACATGGCTCATTTTGACATAAAACCTTCCGTACAGCAAGATATCGGTGTACAGGTTCGCTTTTAAAATAGATGCTTATTTGAACTTTGATGATTCTTTGATTTGACGATTCTTGAAACTTTGACATCTCCTATTATATGCGACAAGAGAAACGCCATCTTAGGACGCTAGGAGATTGGAGACTCTCGGACTATATAAATTAATTATTTTCCCACCAACAGTCAACACTTCATATTTATTTTGGATCATTTGTGAAGGTGACACCCCAGCACCCACAGAATATTGAGAAAGCAGCGTACGCTCAGATACACAACGCTGGGTTCCCTGACATTGTAGACTGTGATGGACGACCATCTATTGAACTGGACCTCTCCAAGCACTACATCTACTCTTCAGCTCTGGAGAACAATGATCCTAGAACTTGTAACACAGTGGTCTTTCAGTTTCTTGCAGTCTCCTTCAACAAGACGGCTGTAAGGTTGGTTAATATACGATTGTACATATTGTAATATTCTTCAGTTGTGTTTCTGATTAGTGATTTCGGGTTATGTTGAATTATTTTAGGAGTTGTTTGAAAGCAGATCAAATTTACGAACATTAACCCCAGGAACATGTTTTTTACGGTCCAGTTTTACTGCTACACTACAGAAACAACCCCCATCTTGACTGCTTATCCAGTCAAACAGAGTCTTCCCGCAATTTTGTATAAGTTCCAGAACTCCGATCAAACACCAGGATGTAGTGTCAGGTAGGGAATCACCAATTCTCTGTGGAATTATATATTTTATCAATTTGTTTGGGTCTGTGATGTTCAAATCTGTCGGATAAGGTTATTTTAAGAAGGCTATATACAAAATCCATAAAAAACAGCCCCCAAGTCATTGCTGGTCTGCAAATTATTGTGTATCTGATAACATGATGACATGATGGTTCATATGTTCATTATCTGGGACGTGCCTTCACTTTTAAATCCCATCTTTACCAGTCGTACCACTGGGATGTACATTGTAAGACATGATACGACATAAGTACCTCGACTTAGCAAGGCAGTCAATGATAATCATAATAATTGTGGGTATATTGTATACCCACATAGGCTCATGTTTTAACAATGTATCATATTGTTATAATAACCCTAATTATGTTGAATAATTTGTGTTCCCAATTCTCATATACAGGTCTACACTCTACAGCCATGAGGACAGTATATTAGAGCCTAAGTGAGATTGTACAGGTGTAAGACGTTTATAACTAATAGTAACAAACTTATTTCTTGTGTGGCACGAGTAAGTGTTACGAATAAGAGTTACGAATGAGTATTACGAATGAATGTTACGAATGAGTGTTAAGATATTGGGCACACTCGATATTGTTCCTTTAAAAAAAGAGGGGCTGGACCTAGATGGCCCACGAAAGGATAGCATTAGGATGCTTTGCCTGCCTCTGGGGTATGGCAACCCTGAAGGAAGTTGCTGGGGTTATCTATGTGGAGATGATGATATTGTTCCTATCGCCCTTGTATCTTCAATATGTGGTCATTTAGATCCGAATGAATCAAAATATTTCAAAAATTAGACAGCAAATTTAGTATAGAGTCTAAATTGTTGCATCGATCATTTGTATGCTGCCGAACGTTGAAACAGACAAGTTTCACAGAAAGGCTAAGACACTTCCAGGTCACTGTGAGCGAAAGACGCAAACACTCGAAATGCTCAATCCAAGCGTGCAGCCTCAATCAATCAAGACTTTCTGTGACAAGCACTTTGTTTTCAATCGGAGACTATGAGGCATTGGAAGGCCAATTTGAGGTCGCACTGTCCATAATTGGATCGGTATTGCATCTTAAATCCGATTGAGGACTTCCATTATTGATTCGTGCCAGTCTCTGGTTGAATACTAGAAGATTGTGCATGGGATAGTTTTTGTTAATTATAATCAGCTAGATAATTTAACTACACTACGTCCTGCTCCAAACACATATACGGGGTGGCGGTTAGCTACTGGATATATGCCAACCTCTGGTGTTTGGGTGTAAAACTACAAACGTTTCTAAATTATAATTTAGCTTGAAGCATTTTTCATGTCTCTAAGCAACTTATTATATGACAATATGCTAGTAAAAGTAAAACAAAAGGTATAATTATGACCTAAAGTTCCAGCCTTTGACCAGGTAAAACTATAAATAGCTTTGTTTCAGTTTTGTACAATATTGTAGAAAATAGTGCACAGTGGTAGGAGCCTGATGAAAGAGATCTGCGAGACAAGTTAAAACCAGCAGAATTGTATTGTTGGTAGTGAGGACTAAGGAGCTTATATTGTTCGAACTGGTTACTGTTGGGGGGGGGGGGGGGGCTGTTGCTGTACTGAAGTGAGCTGGCGGGGGGAGGGGGTATGTTGCAAGCCATACTGTGAGTTGAATGCAAGAAAACTAGACTCATATTATTACTGCCTATATACAGGGTGGGCCAAAAGTCAGTGTGCAAACGTTGGCCTTAATAGCTCAGTCACTGAGTGCCCAATTGAAATACTTCCTTCTGGTATGACTTAGTACCACCACTGGTTCGAGGAATTTGTCAACTCGAACAATATTCGCGTTCATTTTTTTCAAATGGAGGTTCATTTTCACATTTATTTGATAGTTTGGATAGTCGGATCAAGCTAAATGTTATTGAATTGTGTTTGGCCATTCGAATTACGTTTGTCCTGAAAGAATTAGAACTGTAGCTTCTCAGATGACCGAGATATGAAGCATAACGAGTTTATTCATTACGTGTGATCAGGTGATTGGTTTACCTAATCACGTGATAAGGTGACCCCGTTAACTACCCCGTTAAACATTATGGGAATTGTTAAGGGTGCCCAATTAAGGTGTCGTGTCACGGTGTCACATAATCACCCAGTCAATTTTGTTAACGAGATACACAAAATGCTTGATTACTTCGTCATTTCTAATCCGTTTTGCCTCATGTTTTCAGATCATATGCAACATTTGATAATCTACCGTCTCTGAAAAAATTAGGCGTTCAGCATGTTCAGAGAAAACAATATAGGTGTTTTAATATTGAATGGGCGTGGTCTAAAATATTCGAATTTTCAAATTTTGACGACGGAATCCTCGAACCAGTAAGTACAGTATGCCATCTGCAAAGCAACAGCTCTCAAATATAAAACACGGCGGAGGTATAAGACCCAACGTTTGCACACTGACTTTTGGCCCACCCTGTATATATATACTATACTACTACTAGCCTTTACTGCCTCCACCGTGTTGAGAAGTATGAGTAGATGGAACTTGTTTTAGAACGTAACATGGAGATTGGAGAAACATGTGAAAGTGCCAGATGCAAACATTTTATCAAGGGAGAAGGTCAATGGACAGGTTTTTGGGTCCTGTATGTGATTTTAAAGTATCACTGAATAGTAATGTAAGCATATTTTATGTTGCGTTAAAGACAGTGTAGATATTGTTACAAAGAAACATTTGATGAGGTTGTGTGTAATGCCCCTCTCCGAACTTTCACATTTCACAAGGTGCGGGGCTGGTCGGCTCTAACACGAGGTGTATCTGGTAACACGCAGGGGTGGGACTTGCCACGCCCACACAATAGCTAGACACTGCCACAAACTCTAGTTCAGACATTTAGACCAGGATTGAAACATCAAATAGCACGTTCCTTGTTCTTGCACTGTGAACTCGTGACCACTTGACCACTCAAAACTGTAGACGTCACAATCTTGGTTTGTTTGATATTCCATACCTTTGGGTGAAGAATCGATGTGCAGTGCTCCAATAGGGGTATTATGTCTTAACTTTATTAACGTTTATATTTCTCAATTGGTCATTCGTAGCACAGCATCACCATGGTCAGCAAATAAGAAGAAGAAAAATTCAGTAGATATTTTGGTCATAAATAGAAGAAATAAGTTATCATCAGAAATGCACGCACCAAAACACGCAGTGTTCAAATAAACTAGCTTTTTAACAAATAATTTTAATAACTTAGGACTCAAGAAAATAAATCATCTGCCAAAACATATTGGCTGACATTGCATTGGTCTTGCCTGAGAATCACATCTCACCTTAACATGCTTACAGGTTACTTTAAAAGTCGGGGAAACTTGTTTCCATTACATCCTCACTTTTTCATATTTTCATAGTTTTGTGTAAAAATCTTGAGAAACACGTCAACAAATCCTAATAACATCAATCGAATCAAGTTTTATCAACCTAAGACCTAGTAAGATCAGTTCATTACAAAATATCACTATAAAGTTTCAACAGTAAAATAGTCACACTGTAGCCATCTGCTCGGGAGGCTCTCCCGAACTTTCGAATCTGAGTCGCTGATAAACAGCAGGTTTCACATGTTTCTGAAGCTCCGAAACTTTTAGACACACAGTGTTGTAATGGTGACATTCGCTACTCAGGTGGTGAAGGTGATCGTAACAGTCAAAAGGTTTAGCTGAGTCTCGTTTTGGTGGTGTCCGAGGTCGTCTTGGAGGTGGTCTATACGTTCTCGCTTTCATCAGCCGATCTAGCCTTCTATTTAAATTGTTTGTTTTCACCACGAAAAAGATCATGGCTATTGTTACGACCATCAGAATGGCACTGAGCCCACATATGACGATCAGATGGTTTGTGCAGTCTAAATCGGAGTTTGTTCCGGATTGATCTAGATTCCCTTGTTTCGGATGAGTTGTCTCGGGTTTCCCGTGAACTCCCAGAGTATTGTGTCTAACAGAGTCGTTTGAGTTAACCCTCCAAATAAAGTCCATTTTAGCACTGCGTACAGGGTCAGTACCAGCGTAGCTCCGTACCATGCGGCACTCGCAGGAACACGTGATGGTTTCCAACTCCGTGTTCCAAATAAAACCAGGAATGCTGACCTCTTTAGAGCCCACCGCTAGGGCAATGACCTCGGATTGAGGTCCAGAGACGGTCATGTTACACGTAAGTAAGTCCAGCCGAGATGAGAGCACCCTACACTTTACCAGAGTATCATTTGTAAACTTGAGATCTATCCTGGGTAGGGGAACTCTAAGAGGTTCCAGAGTAGAACACTCCTTGGTGGGTTTACTGGTGTACACGTGGAACAGAGTAGCAGGACTGAAATGGAAGTACTGCTTCCCCTCACTGTCCTGTCTCTCCAGCTCGGTGGTGCTGGACAAGTAGCCCGGACACTGCTCCCTCTCTCCGTCCCACAGTGGGACAACTTGTCCCACCACCACTCTCACGTACAGTCCCAGACACTCCACCACGTACCCTCCCACCTCCACGTCTATACTCTTAGCTCGCATCACCTGGTCTCCACCCTCCACCGGGTAGGTGATAGGGTTAGCTCCACTCCTGCACTGCCACTCCTTGGTGCTGTTAGCGGACTGTAGCTGTCTGAACTGGGCGCTGGTGGGGGCCAGGCCGGTGGTATTCTGTACACGGAGTATGACCCAATACTCTGAAGAGGGGCTCACGCACTTGAGAGATACCAGTAACACAACAAAACAATAGTGCATATCAAACAATAGTTGCGATTAAATGTGGTGTAAGCGACACTAGCGGGGTATAGCGGGGATAATCCCGCCGGCTCCGGACTGCTCCCTCATTTCAATACAAAATAACAAACAACAATTAGAGTGTTCCAGAGATAATTGACCTCAGCATTATACTACGTGTGTAATATAAATTCTCGCTTATGTATTGGGGCTCGTGACTAGGCACCGGGGGAGATTAGATTTTGACCATGTTAACTGGCCCCATGTAAACTGTGTTTTTGTACTGCTAAGAGTGTGATCTGTTGACCAGGGGGCTGAACTGAGCCGTGGTTTGGTGCGGTGCGGTTCTTAAATTAGAGTATTATATATTAACTTTACAATCTTGTGTACACACGCTAACTTGATCACCTTGACTCAAATACTTTTATTATAAGTCTATGTTAATTCTTTAATTACACTGTGTAGAGTTCTGTACTTTTCAAGAAGGTGTAAATTTAGATGTAGACTTGTGAGATCTGTCTAACATCTAACTTATCACTAGCAATAATAAAAGAAGTCCAGCTACTAGAGTCACCTCATGACTAACTTTAAAACTTCTCTCAGTTTTGAAGTGGATCCAGGTAAGAGAGCTAACGAGCCAGCACTCTTTCTCCATCACATTCAGAACGGCACCTGCATCATCGACATGTGGAACGCTGACTCCCTCTTTCATGAGGGGTCCGTCACTGTAAAACTGAAGGTATTATACAACAATACAATTTGTAGGTACTACATGGTTACCATGTTGGCTGTTGGTGACTGGATCACCTGGATTTACTTATTTGGCCAGATATCGGCTCCTGAGTGAGGAATCACTCATCTCTATCTGCTTTATCTAAGATTTCACAGCTAATTGACATTCTTCCACCTAAATATTTCAGCGGTTGGCAAGGCAAGGAGAGCACGGAATCCAAAGCACCCAAGTGTTCAACATTCTGAACGCTGGTGACAACATCGGTAAACTACACCTCAGGATCGCTAATATTGGCTCTGTTTCCAATGTGTACGGTAAGTACCTAGTCTCTATCAGTACTTTAGATGGGTGCACAGTCTGAGAAATAGAGGAACGCTGTAGTTCTGTATAATATCCCGCAACATTAGTTACATTAATAGTAACTTTAGTAACTTAAGTAACTTTAGTAACTTTAGACCTAGGCAAGGCAAGGGAGTAACTTTAGTAACTTTAGTAACTTTAGTAACATTAGTAACATTATATCATTACACTAACTATTGTAACAGTATTAGAGTGAAACAGTCCCATATCTCCAGATATCAAGGACCTGACAACGTCAGCAATAATAGACTGCACGGATAAGAACAACTCAACAGAACTGATTGTCCGTCCCAAACCCCTCTCTACTGTGGACCACAACTTAACATCAATACTCTCCTCTCAGACTGTACAGAAAGCAACCAGAAATAGGTGAGTAACAGGGGTAACCTGGCAAGTAACCATGGTAACCTGGCTAGTAACTATGGTAACATAGCGTGTAACTATGGTACCTGTGGAACCTATGGTACCTGTGGAACCTATGGTAACCTGGCAAGTAACCATGGTAACCTGACAAGTAACCATGGTACCTCATTTAAGCCCTATGGTTACCTAGCTTGTAACTATGATTACCTGACTTATAACTATGATTACCTGACTTGTAACTATAGTAAAAAGTAACCTGGCTAGTAACTATAGTAACATGGCAAGTAAACATGGCAACCTGACGCGTCGGTTGATTAACAAAGCGTGCAACTTGTCTCAGGTCATTGATCATGTAAACCAGAGAATCCTGATAAGAACCAGACTGAGTATCGGAGTGGTACTGAGTCTGACCTCCCCGATATCACGTGATATTGAGTCTGACCTCCCCGATATCACGTGATACTCCCTCACTACTTTACAGTAGCGACACTACGTAACCACGGTAACATGGCGATGTAGCTAACCCTGGTATGTGTTTACAGGAAGATGGAGAGAATGGAGGCGGTCAGGAGAAAGGAAGACGCGTCTTACATCATATCACGTGACGAGGGCAAGGCACTGAGGTCCGGCCAGCTGACCATGGTAAAGAACTACCGTAACAAGATAATAAACGACGTTATCAGAGGAGGACTGGTGGCTAACATCACGGTTACCCACACGCTCTACTCAGTTTACGGGACTGTCACATACTTTGAGGTGCACTTCTGTAACCCCAATGTTACTGCTACCCAGGAGTTCTTTATATCCTGGGACTGTACTGATATCAGGTAAGATGAGTGTTAACACTCAACTAAAAGCACGCTTCTCGGCCTGTCATGACTCATGTCAAGACCGGTGAAGTGTTGAGTTGTGAAAATCGTAACGAAATTTAAACGAATCGTTTACTAAGAGTAATAGTATCTATCGACACAATCAAACGATATTAAAACAGTAAATCAAAATATTCTTCTTTTTTTAATCATGGAATAATAAGCTTGCAGAAGCAAATCCTATTTAAAACATTCGAATCAGCTGAGGCTTGAGGTGGTGACAAGAGCTCGTCGCTTATCTTACAATTTGAGAGCGCGCTTTGCTTGATACTGCCCATCTACTGTGATATGTTAAACTTAGTATGTCATTATGTCCAACGATAAGAAATCTGATGAATGGATATAAGATATGTTATTAATTAATTTCTTTCCTAAAACAACTGCGCCAATACAACACTTTCACCCGAAAACTAAACTTGAATGGAACTCAAATACACGATTATTCTGTCGCCATCAAGAACCAAAATAGTAAATAAAGGGGTAATACGATGTTTTGTATTTGGTGATTGAGAAGATTCTATAATGTTGATCAAAGCGCACTCACACTGATAAAATATCCCCAGACTAGTATACAACAGTATGGAATGTAAAGCTCTCAAGTCCCTGTTTAATGTGACCACCCCTCTGGATCCTGATGTGTTCGAGTCCTCAACCCAACCAGTAAAGTTCACACTCCGGCCAAAGGAGGATATCTACATTCCCTTCGTGTACTCATCCAATGCTACCAAAGAGGAATTTGGCTATACGGTATATAGTTATTGGGGACGAGATAATTTGGGGGAGGGGGATCATCTATCCCAAATATTTGCAACATTTACACGTGAAATTTCAATGGATAGGCGGTAAATTAACCTTCAGCCAAGCTTTGAAGGGTTATTTAAAGAATTTCCCTGGTGTTCATGCCAATATTTTAACTTTTCCTTATGTCGCACCCCCTCTTACATCCCATCTTCTTCAGATGAAGATAACGAACACAGTGAACAGTCCAGTGCAGCTAATAAAACTCCACTTCAAGCAGCAGCGTCAGATAATTAACGAGCGGTTCATGTTCTACGAGGCTGAGAACAGTTTCGCTAAACACACCCTCCAACCCCCCAATACCCGCCGACCCGAGGACCTGAGTGTCAAGTGTAGCAATGAGAATGTACTGTGTGGGGTAGATGAGAAGGGGCAGATCTACTTCAAGGCTCCTGTTCCTAAATCTACGGAAATGGTGTCCCTTTTACTGCTGTTATACGTGTAAGTGTGGGTAGAACCTTGTGTTAAACTTACAATGTTACTCTTAGTTCCCGTAGTACTAGTAGTTGCAATGTTACTAACCTGAGGAACTTCTAGAACTTCGATCTAATGATTTGAAGAGACAGCCGGTTCAGTTTAATTTACAAAACCTACAAGTTCACTGAGCAGCCCCTTGTTTAAGCATCCCAGCTTGCTTCAACAGAACATTAATTTTAGTTCGACCGACGGCAGGATTCTAAAACATTCTGCCTTAGCCTCAGGAAGCCAGTCGTGTTAAAATCACAATAACGATCCCGTGCTTTTAAGTTTCAATAATCGTGTCATAACAGTCGTGATAACTACTGTTAAAAATGTGGACGGCCTGCCCATGCCACTAACCGATTAGCAGCAACTAGAAGCTCTCATTTGGAGTCCTCAGAAGGCGATTCGAAGTAAAGTTTAACTCATTTAAGCCCTCACTTCAACTAACAATATAAAGTATTTATTGTGCTGTGCTTCCATTCCCAAAACCCGTATTTAACGCAAAGAACATTTCCCTGTTTTAACTGAATTTTTGTTTCTTTCTTGGTAGACTCGAGTCTGTAAAGAAATGGATAAGATTTCAGTTTAAACATTTATCAGACTCGAAAAAACAAAAAACAAAGAATACTCAGTTTCACACAGTCTATTTATCATCACTTTTTTAAGGAAAGAGTTGAATTATGGCTAAAGCCGTAGAGGCTTAGGAATATCTGGGATCAAATTAGTTCCACCAAGATCTTGTAGTGCTCCTCGTGTTGCGGTAATAATCTCGCATATCTACTTGAAACACCTAGACACGTGGAAATGCCGGTCACGTGAACAGTTCCAATCTCACCGTTTCTAGCTTAACGTCAACGAGCTAGTGATATTTCGAGATGGGGTAAGATGGGAGTAATGCGGTACTGCGGAGTGCGGTTTACTGGGTTTAAGGTCGCACGATACTGATAGCTTGTGGCTTTAGGTATGTCCATCTTAATTATTATCTTTATTCAAGTAGATAGAATCAGCCCAAACAGAATCAGGAATGTACTGTCGTTTGATCTCTGGTCGAAAATAAACTGAATTTGAGGAGAGCCAATTACTGGTAATAGTCAAGTTTAAGGTAACCCGGTGGTTTCGTGGTCGTCTTGCGGTGTTTCGCTTAAAACCGCAATAAGGTGCCTGGGTGGCGTTAGCAGTTTGCAGACAGTTTGCTGCAGCGCCAGAGTTCCGGGGAATTCAACACCAGTTGTTGACAAAGCTTTAAATACCAATAGCTTTGTTTTCTCCTTTGTTTAAGAAGCTCGACCAATAAATACCCCATGAAACACGAGGCACCAAACCCCTTTATAAATTAAAAACTGTAGTTTTATTGGCACCCGATGTAATTGTTTTTAATCGCCCCAGTTGAATAATTACGGATCAGAAGGGAGTCAGCAGTCTTACACATTGCATATTATTGTATGACGTACATCTAAGAATGTTACATGCTTGAATATAATTGTCTTGCACAACAGCTCCGATGACTGTGAGCGGGAAAAACGATTCCCAAAGATCCCCAAAGATGACAGCAAAAATTTCGATTATTTGAAACTTGTCTTCGGTCAACTTTAAAGAATTTCTTCAGAACGATTATTTTAATAATATTTTAGTAATATTTTAGTAAATTGCGCTCACGAGGTTATACTTATATATCACGATATGAGCGTACAATTCGCAGAAAGCGTTTTGGTCTTAGAGTCAAAATAAGTGTAATTTATCAAAATTAGGCTTTGTCACGTTCAATGATGCCCAAATCTGATTTCATAACACAAATTAGCTGTATTTAGGAGTGTGATCAAACATATCATGGGAGACTGACAGTGGGTTAAGATTAAGCCTAAAATGATCCCGATTAGTTGATTGTTCCATTTTGCCCTTGAAATATTTGAAATGAGTAACATTGCTCGACAGGATTTGCCCTGAACCCTACCCTCTAAGTCTAACTGCACACTGCTAACAGTCCCCCTTATTTTACAGAGATAAGCATTGTTACAGACCCTACCAGATCTGGGAGGTAGACTTGTACTCTCTGAAACGTGTCGATATGAGCGCCGTGGTGGGGAGCCAGTCCCGCTTCCCTGTTATCCTCAGAGGAACTGACTCTGTGCGCTGTGTTACCTGCTTCTCGTCCCATCCTACTGTCATTCAGGTAATGTTACTTTCTACTTCAGGTACCTTTACGCTTTTGATTTTAAACCTGAAAAATAGCTTTATCATTTATACCCAACTCTTTCCTCGTAACCCCACAACCAGAAAGGTTTAAACTTCCTCGCAATACCAATACCAATGTTCCCCCTAAAAACGTTCTTATGCCCTAAAAAATCAGGTTTTCGCTTCTAAAAATTTTCTCTTTGGCACCAAATTTCCTCCAAAACCTCGTTTCCTCTCAGTTTATCTGCCGGTTTGCCGCCTTTGTGGATGTGGGCTCATAACTCTTCGTCATTCGTGTAAACTAACTCTACCCGGAAATCTAAGCACAAAGCAATCTTGTACAGAAAGCCCGGTTTAAATCAGCTGTGCGCTTTAAATTCGCCGAAAATGGGAAATTTCATCCTAATCCAATTTCAGACTGAAATTTCACAATGCCTTGCAAAATGCAAATGAAATGTTGTTTAATTAAATTTACAAGGTATGTGAAGTATGTGAAATTTTAAGCAGGAAAACAAAAACTTTGGCTCACAATAACAACTGGGCCCTATTTTTCTCCTAACCAGGACACCAGCAGCTCCCATAAGAATAGCCACGCTTTACAACGGCAGGCCTGCGTCATAAGCTCTTATTGGCGACCAGTCCAGTGTCGAGGGACACATGAAATATGGGAGGTTTTGGGCGTACTGGCACTGGCGCTGGCGCGGCGGACACTCCGGTTCTTAAAAGTTTGCTCGTGACCGGTCCTGCTATGCGTTATCTCGAAAGCAAGATTCAAATCTTCCCTCCCTTCTCTCCCTTCCCCTTAAAACTTATGCTCTGAGACTGTAATTAAGAACGGCATGCAGTAAAATACCGCGGGGCAAACATTTTCCTAACTCTGTAAGTTCCTACTGAGAGGTATTTTTGTTTAAAAGTATTGAAACTCATTATTACTGAGTTCGTCATAAAGCTTTTAACTTTGTAATAATTGTTGGTAAATACAAAGTAGTAGGTACAAATCCAGACAAGTTCCAGTCTAGAATTACTGTAGTACTAGAACTGTAGCACTAGAGAGAGAGAGAGAGAGAGAGAGAGAGAGAGAGAGAGAGAGAGAGAGAGAGAGAGAGAGAGAGAGAGAGAGAGAGAGAGAGAGAGAGAGAGAGAGAGAGAGAGAGAGAGAGAGAGAGAGAGAGAGAGAGAGAGAGAGAGAGAGAGAGAGAGAGAGAGAGAGAGAGAGAGAGAGAGAGAGAAAGGGAGAGAGAGAGAGAGAGAGAGAGAGAGAGAGAGAGAGAGAGAGAGAGAGAGAGAGAGAGAGAGAGAGAGAGAGGGAGAGAGAGAGAGAGAGGGAGGGAGGGAGAGAGAGAGAGGAGAGGGAGGGAGGGAGGGAGGGAGGGAGGGAGGGAGGGAGGGAGGGAGGGAGGGAGGGAGGGAGGGAGGGAGGGAGGGAGGGAGGGAGGGAGGGAGGGAGGGAGGGAGGGAGGGAGGGAGGGAGGGAGGGAGGGAGGGAGGGAGGGAGGGAGAGAGAGAGAGAGAGAGAGGAGAGAGAGAGAGAGAGAGAGAGAGAGGAGAGAGAGAGAGAGAGAGGAGTTGTTATAGTTACTGAAACTCAAGATTAAAGGACCATGTAATTGCAAGAATATGTTTGTTTATTATTAACAATTGGTTGTAAGGTTTTGGGCACTGGCTGGAGCTGGCTAGGTTTCGTATATATTCGGCTAGGTTTAGTATATATTTGCATTACTAATTATAGTAAAATTGGCAATTATTGTAGTCTACCAAGTCTATGGGCTTCCCAAAGGTTACATTCTATGATGTAACACACTGTGGAATATAACATTACCTCACCACACAGCTGGGTATGTGTAATCTGGAGAAAGGGAGCTATTTGTTTGGAAACTTTCACAAACTCATGGCATATTTACTGTGCATTCTTATAACGATGATGAATAATAATAATCTCTGAATTTTACACTTAGTTCAACTTTGACCACATTTAATGATTATGGGAGTGATTTCATAGCATTATTAGATGTTACGAAATCAAATATATATTAACATTCAACGCGAGTGTCACGACAAACTTTAACCTCATAGCGACATTAAAGTACGTTCTCTAGAATTACATGATTTACGGAAGGTATTATTTCCTGGTCTGACCCTGCACGTTAAAACACTACATATTATGATATTATGATATAATGCATGCTTGAGAATGATCTGTACAACAATACCCCAGATAACCACAAGGTTAACCCTACTAAAACACCACCGCCCCCAGGTTGAGCCAGACCGAGAGTTCATGTTGCTACCTAGCACGATACAAGAAGTGAAGCTGCTCTACGAACCTACAGACACAGGTTCCAAGAATTACATGGTAAACGTAGTGGACACTAAGAACAGAGTTGTAGTTGAACGGTGGATGGTGCACACCAACGCTAACTTACCAGTCGTCAGTAAAACTTACGAGATCCCCACCATAAACACAGTCAGTCCGACCCACAAGAACATTTCCTTCACCAACCCGTACAGTACGAGCAAGACTTTCAGGTTGAAGTGTAACAAGCCGGAGCTGGTAAAGTTCAGGGAGGAGGAGCTGGTGGTGGCTAGTAAGGAGAGTGTTAATATAGGTCTGATACTCTCGCCTCTGGCTCTCTCCCATTCTAATTACATACTCGTATTCGTTAACGATGTTCAACAAAAATGTGAGGAATGTTTTGCCTTGAGAATTGGGTGATCTTAAGGACGGGATTGAAGGGAAATAGTGCTTTCAGAAAGACTGGATGAACTGATATCAATTATTGAGGGTACAGAGGTACTGGGTAGCGTCAACACTCAGCCAACTTTTGAAAATGGATTAAAGATCCCGGAAATACTGTGGTGTAGCATTGTTGCTGACTGCTTTAAAAGATCTCGAGACTCATGAAAACAGGAATTTGAAACTGGTTTAAACGCTGTTATAAATCAATATCTATTAGAAGTTGAAAATAAAACAGAAATAAATTTAATAATTACAAAAATAAAAATAAGTTGGCTAAATTTCCCGGAATACGCCGGGATAATACCACATTGAAGAGGTGACGTCATTATTACGTCACGGTAACACACAAATATTCGGCACTTTTGGTAAAGACCGGGGTAAATTTAAAATTAGATACATATCTTATGCTTAGAACACGTAACACTTATTAGATAATATATCTGGAGCAAAAGATCCCTGACTTCTGAGCTTTGATGGAATGACATTATGAGTTAGAGTGTCGTTTGATCAAGTGAAACGGGGTGAATTCGATCGGAAAATAACAAAATCTGTTTTTAGAAATGATTGTTTCAAAGCTCAGTCATCTTGGATTCGTACATTACAAACACAATAATATGATAAAATCTAGGGTATTATAATGATAACTATTACACGTGTGTTCCTGTTAAAAAGTAAATAGGTTTGTCTTTCGAACTGGTTTTAAACTCGTCTCTGAACCGGAATCTCCAGTTCTCCTCGAGATCGAGCCGTAGGATTTCCTCCCTTAATTCTTCTCGATCTGACAGGGTGGAATGTTTTAAAATTTGCGAGATTTTTGAGTGCTTAGTTTGCTGCTAACTGTTTTTAGATTGACTACTATTTTTGACGGATTTTGATTAAAATTTCCCGGGAAACTTGACGTATTATCTCTGGTTTTTAATGATCATGACTTTGAAAAGGCTTTACTGTTGAAGTTTTATGCACAGTGTTCAGCTAGATGTTTTCTATGTTATATTATGTTCATGACTTATATTTTACATTAATTAACATGACAGTATGTATACAGTGTACACAAAATAACGAAATATCATTTTAAATTATATGTAACAACGTGTTCAATATCTATTTGTACATCAACTGTAATTATGATTATTAAATTATTTATCTTCTTAATTAAAGATATAGTGTTTTACTTTGATCTCTTACCTCTTGCGATTACACATAATTTAGCGCCCTTCACAAAGTTAAGCCCCTTTAGCTGCTGAGGGTTTAGCCTCTGTGCTGAGAAATATAGTAGTAATCCGCCAAACTTAGTCTCTGACTCTAACTTCGGGATGTTCTGAAGAATTGAAATTAGCTTCAGTAAGAAACAGATAGAAGGATATACACTGACTTTAACTAATAGAAGTCACAACCACTTCGTCCATGACTATCAGTATCAAACATATGTTTTGTTCCTGGGTCGGTGATATTTCATGGCTAATGAAAATTTCAGCAAACTACCAATTATTTCAAAGTTCATCTATGAGCACTATCTTACCCTTAACCTTGGCCTTAACCTGAACAACAAATGCTAATAATTGACCTCTTCAAGACATTACCTGTGATAGAGTTGATACGGTGGAGACTTTGCTCCCCAGACTAAAATAACAATCTATCTGTAGAATGGGCAGACCTGGATCCGTCGTCTTGAACAGGATCTCTGCAGCTCCCTGGAACAGGAAACACCTGATCGGGCAAACCAGGTTAGTAATAGTTTTAAATAAAAAAAATTGGATTTAAGTCATAATTCTGTCACCGCAGAACAGATTACTAAAAAACAGTATCAGTTTGGATGCGTTTATAAATAAGGTTCCAATCTGTGCTTGGTGGCTCCTGCCCCTAAATCCCCTTGTTTTACAATATTCTAACATGACGTCATGCATGTTCCGACTTCCCCTAAACTACTCCCTCAAAATGTGACGTCATTTGTGTAAGATCCCGTTAACATATTTTAAAGTTCTTCAAACGATAATTATAATTACACCAACAAATTTACTGCGTCACATCTATAACATATTGGCAGTATAAACACTAGAGAGTTCACTGTCCTTCCGCTAAATCACCAGGACACACAAAGTCTCTTGAAAGTCTATGAAGTCTTGAAAAAAGACGTTAACTAATTACTTACTCTAATAGATAGTGTGATGGGACGGGAAGCACGAACGTCTCCGCTTTATCTGGCATGGTTATCAGCTTTGTGACCTGTAAGATGAAGTGTGAGGGTACTGATAGTTAGATTGTTAGGTAGTGAGAGTGCACCTGTAACGGCCAGGTGGTGGTGGTGCTCTGTAACCATCTGGTGCACGACCACCCACCCCTCAGTAGACTAGACTCCTAGTCCCACAGGGAGTGCGGCCCAATTTGTTCCGTCGCCTCCCTACTGTAGTGTAATGGCCTAGACTGGGATTCTAAGCGGATAATGTCCTCCTGTAAACTAGAACAGAGCAGCACTGCTGATTTCAGCCCAAAGGTTTGACTTTCTCAAAGGAGTTTTCTGCCTGAATTAGATGCGGGATCTGGCCGAATCTTTCTCAACACATGGCACCACAATAACCACAATGAAACAGGGCTCTTCAGACTTAAATTGACTTTACCAATTCATAAACTATAGCATAGTACAAAAAGTATGCATCAAGTACACCACGTGATCAGCTACTCAATAATAAGTCTCGTGTTAAAGTATATCACAGTATAAAGCAGCTAGATAGACCTACCCCTATTGTGTCGTCTGCCGGGTTGTATACTGATAGTGGTAACACCTTTTCAGGGAGGATGAAGTTCTCACCTCCTGATTTTAGGTAACGTAACTGAAATGGAAGGCGTTGAGAGGCTGGGGATATAGACTATTTGTTAATATAGCGAACTAAACTTAACACGTCATTAATAGGCTATTGATTGATATTAACTTGGAAAATTAAGGCAAATTATCGAACGACTTTTGAAACCCCCTCGGTTTTCTGTTCGAACTTATAAAGTAGAAGCCCTAGGGATTACAAATTGAAGTCGTTATGACTCAATCGGGTTTTCTGTTTGATGTTTTAACAATATCTCAATTCCCGGCCTCACCTGAACTTGAAAGATATTAAATCGGCAGGTAGTAAGGCCGCTGAAGTTGGCGAGCTTGTAAAACTCGAACCCATCGTTCATGTATCTGTCCCTGTTAAAGTCCATCCCTTTCGTCAGGTCAACGTTGATGAGCTGTAACGAGTTGGTATACCCCCTGAAGTAAGAGCTGTTAGCATGTCTAGTTGTCTCGCGATCACCACCACAGCAACACGTCCCTTTTTTACCAGGCAAGATACATTTTTCTAGCTTCTCGGTCTAAATTGTCTAAATTTTTGGTCTATTTTCTACAAATAATAGCGTTAGATATGTTGGAGAAGTACGCTAGGTCGCTAGAGTAGACTAGTAGACCCACCTATCGAAGCAGTGCGGGTGTTTCATGTTCATGCCCCAGTGGGAGGCGTAGAGGGCGGCGTATTTTGCAACCTCGGGCGTCTTCTCTATGTGGCACAGCACTTTGTACAACGAGACGCCTTTTACTGATCTGAAAAAAGGGAAAATATAAGATTCCTGGAGTTTATGTTAGTGACCGGTGTGAAATTATCAAGCATCGCATATTCCCCCTGACAGATGTGTTATCACACTAAATCACACGTTTTGGCACACTGGATCACACGTTTTATCACACGTTTTGGCACACTAAAACACACATGAGTGCTCAATTACCTTATTTTCTGATTATCAGTCGCACATTTGGTCATGGTCCACGTAGCACAGTTGTCCTCCATCACCGCCACGAACGGCCACATGGGTCGCTCAGACTTTCGGCTCTGTTCATACCGGTAATTCTGTTCCGCGAACTTTTTGATCCAGTACCTGTATACCTGTGGTGGTGGAAAACGTTTTTATTACGTGTTGTTCTTTATTTAACAGCTGTGTGAAATGGGGAAATTAAAATTTGAAATATTATATCATTGACGATGATACCGCTTCATCGGTGTCGTGGGTTACTAGTTGGTTTGTCACATATAGCCAATTCATAATAAGATAAACGGTAATAGGCCGTTAGGCTTTCAAAGTTTGATGTCTTTAGTTGGTGCAGGGAGGGGGGCCGTGTGGAAGGACTAATTGCCAATTCATTAGAATAATATTCGCATATGGCACTATGTGAGATCAAGACTAATCCACCACCAATCATCGGGTGGTCATACAATTTAGATAAATAAAATTCACAGTGCAGCTAATAACATAAATTGTAATAACAGGAGGTCTCACAAAGGGAGAGGGTGATGGACTCAAAGGTGCTCCAATCCCCGAGCCGTCACATCTGTTAATGGCTTGTTCGATCCCTAATTCAGGAGCTGTTCTTACTATAGAAACAGTTGGTGATATAGCTGATTGGCAAGGCTAGGAGCATGTCCTACGTCAGGTCTCCTATGACCTGGTATGTGTTGAACCTGATGGTTATGAGGGGTCGGCGGAGGGGAGTTTAAAGTGGTGTGGGGGCGGCGAGGTCGGGGCGGCTGAAAGACAGGGACTAAAGAGCAGGGGGATGTGGAGCCAGGCTGCTGCCTCGTTAATCGGTACACCTAATTTACAGGTTTAACTCACGACCTGCCCAGCTCGCCCATACAATCTGCGGAGAGGCTCAGGTAATGGATTGGGCGGGTGACCAGCGGCCTGGCTAACGTACCGCTCTACTAGCAAGCCGCTCTACTAGCGAGCCCCGGCTAATGTCCGCCGTGTGTCCGGCCCGGGTCAGAGGTTCGGACAAACTTCACATAGCGCAAATAGCTCACTCGTATGCAATCCTGGTGGGGGAGTACGAGGGTGCTGGGATAGAGGACTAACACTCCGTATAACTGAGCTGTCTTACTCAACCCCTCTTAGAGCAGGACAGAGTGACCACATCGGCCTGTTAGCGCGGAACAATGATCTGACCGCTCAACATCTTACTCTTACAGTAAATGTTACAGAATATGACAAAACTAATGCCGAAACCACACTGAAAGTTAACCTGGCTCATGAAAAGCAATAATGAAATGTAACAACTTACACCGAATCCTTGGCTCTCTGCAGACTCTGGGAGAACCATGATGATATGATTGGTCCACTTGGTGATGTAAAGGTCCATGTCTGTTTTCGTTACAACAACTATGTGTGTATGTGATACTCCTTCCAGCGTATGATGTAGGTTTAACAGCGCTGCAATAATGTTACCTGTGAGCTCAAGACTTACAAATACCTACTTGAAACTTTCTTGTTGTGCTTACAATCGTAGATTCTTAAAATAAAGTTCACAAATAGAATGAAAATTATTATATTACTTATCTATACCACGTGTCATGATATAATTTTCAATAATTATCTAATGCATAATATATCATCACGACAGGAAAAAAAATATCCCCTAGACGTGTACGCAGTTAACAAAGCCCCAAAAGTAAGTATAGACTATAGACCTCCCCCCTCGTCAGCCTCCCCCCACCTAGTACTATAGTACCAGCGCCTACCTATATCATGTCTGCCTCGACTAGGTGTAAATATAGGGGAGTTGATTGTACCATCGTCTGCCACATCCGATATCACCAGCGACTGCAGATAACCCTGAGAGTCCACTGATATGAAGAACTTGTTCAGGTGATCGTCAGGGATGAAGAACATTATCTCTTCCCCGTGCAGCTTGTAGATAAAAGCGTTCCGCTGTCCGGAGCCCATGCGATAAGTGTTGCAGGTGTCGCAGAAGTGGTAGGAGCTGTGCGCTGTTAGTTGGGTGAACTGCACGTTAACCACGTCTCCCCGCGTCACTCCGCTGAAATCCTTCTGCTCCGTCGTCATGGACTGAGACTTGATGGTGGTGTAGGTAGGCCAAGTTCGGAACTCTGATGCAGGCTCTTCCTCCGAGTCACGTGGGTCCCGGACTGATAACACCTGGTAGCCAGAGTTTGATTAGTTGATGAAAAGCATTTAGTTAGCTCGCGCACATTAACATCGTTTTCAGAACGTTGTGGCAAAAAAACGGACATTTCACGCTAGAAAAGCAGCATTTTTGCTGCAGTTCGGTGGTTTTTCAAGGTTGAGTAATAATACCTGGACTTCCTGTTGCTGCTTGAGAAACTGCTGGACTAGTCCAAGGAACTGGAACACAGCTCCGGTTTTGCCGATCTGCTTGGGTCCACTGAGCAGCATACGGCGGGGGTGAGTCCTGGTGGCTCCGGTTGTGTCCAGTGCCTCCATGTCGGACAGGGAGACCAGGAACTCTCTGAAATATAGGGTAACTGTCAATCATATGTACCGGGGAGTTGTTTCGCGAAAGTGGAACATTTGAAGCCCTACCGGCCTGTATGAACGACTCTAAGGTTTTGCCGAGGCGGTCACACTCATAATTCAAGGTTCTTTGGTGCAATGCCGACCACGGAGGAGAAGGGAAAGGAGAAAAGGAGTGGACTACAGACCTGTAGTAACGAGACTGTTCAGGAGAGGAAGAGGATGGTTTCAGGAGGGGTCTCTGTCTTTGTAACCACTTGCAGTTCAGGTGTGGAATCATTATCAAACTCCGACCTGGTAAGTCGCTGTCTTCGAAAAACGGTAAGACCTGAGGGTGATTCCAGTTAGTGTCAACTTGAAAAGACATTCTACTTTTAGACGATAGGCGGTTTTAAGAGCCCATTTTCCAGACGTGTGCCTTTTTCTTCACAAATTTCAATAGCTTAAGTCTAGATTAATTAAAAGCAGCACTTTCATTTCATCTGGGCGGAATTTTTATTGCCCGAGAAATCAGAGCGAATTATTCTCCAATGAGCCATTTAACATTGACCTATGAAGAACCTGTGAAGTAGGTCAGGTCGCCTAGTGACACACTTCACTGGTCGCCTAGCGACACACTTTACTAGGTAACCGTGCAGGTGGTCCGATCAAGTCTGCTCGAACCAACCACCCAGTCTATTTGCCGAACTCTTTTGTCGGGGAATTAGCAGGTCGTATTAACTGCTCTTTGAGCTAATTAGCACAGTGATAGAGCTGCTTCCTACCCCCTCCCTTATTGGGCCAGCTCATGCTGTCGGGAGCTGGTTCACTGCTCAAATTAAAGGGCAAACAGCCCCCTTCTCAACGGGCTGTGTTTTGTTGAATTAAAAAGATATGAGTTTAGGGTGCGAGCCTTGTGGTTCTGCACTCCCTCCTGCGTCTAACAGGGTCCGGAAGATACCGTTTATAAACTGTTCAAGTGTCAATTGGCAGGTAGGTTTATTTTAATATCTGCTTAATTTTTAGTGGCTCGTATATTCACAACACACGAGCCGTACAATTTTTACCTAGTTCAAGGAAGCCTTTATCAGAAGGCGTTAAAGTAAAAACAAAATAATGCACACGATATATATTAGTATATTGGGAGTTTAAAAGGTAAAACGGCTTCAAAAATAGCTTTGATCTAATGTATTTATGGAAATTTATCCTCACCTGGGACGGAACAAGACATCTAGGTCTGATGAAAAGGGCCTCCATGGGTGCACTGTAGCCGTACAGGTTACCAATCTCCTGTTCCAGAATAGTTCTGCTCTGAGTGACGGTGTAGAAGGCCCTCATGTCATAGTACCGCATCGAGCTGGAGGAATAAAGCTGTCACGTGACATATCACAAGACATGGGGTTAGAGTGTAGTTACTGTGGGATTAGCGGGATAGCGGTTACTTGTAGAGGTGGACTGTAATCAGTTTTACAACATCAGATAGGGACGGTCGTCCTGACTTAAATGACCGAGTTCTCAGATCAGACTTACCTTCCGATGCTAATTTCGATGTTTGAAGAGTTATGAATTTTAGTGTGCTCTGTGGCTGTTAGACACAAATCTAGAGTTAATGATGCCGGCCAGCTCAAATGAATCCTAAATTTTGATAGTTGACGATCCCTAACTGTATATGTAATTTGGTAATACTCCTAAACTCAAAGGACTTGTCATCGGCTCCACTTTTTAATGAAATCGCGCCTAACTAAGTCTACTACGTTTTTATTTAGTAGAATTAGTATCCCGATCTCTTAGCGTGACGGTGCAGGGGAGGATGACCGTTCAAATGCGACATTCAACAAGCTTCTTTCACTCATCACCGTGAACATGCATTTTTCCGGACTTTGGCAGTCGAGCGAGACAAAGGACATGGGACACGGTACCTGTCACTTTCAAGACAGTTGCTGCCACACATTCTAGTCATAACCTGTCACGAAACATACTTTACCGTGGGTACCGATCATTTGGCAAAGCTGGACTGCACCACGTGGTGATCTGGTCTTCCACAAGCCATTTAAAATTTGGGGAATCCGTCACCGAGTCTTATTCAACACATTCTTAGGGGAAGATCAAAACAACTAAACTCTGAGCTCCAATTACCTAAATCTACAGATTCTACACTGTGTCTTACACCAATTCCCACTGATAAATACACCAGCTACCTTGTTTTTCTACAGAAAAAAACAGTAAGTTAGCTGCAAATATCTGATTGTGATACGTTGTAAATGATAGTATTTGAACCCACTTACCAAGGGAAGGTATCTCCAGATCTGATAGCCCCAGTTCTGATGACCAGACAAGGAAGATTGGCAAGGTGTTCAGGTCTGCAAGGCCTCCACTCATCACTCCGTCCCTCCTGGCAATGCCTGATCGGGGAGCGTGGGATATAGGAGGGGGCCGCTTGTTTTAACTTCTATATTGTTATCGGGTTTATTCAATATGATTCACATTCCTCCAGACCGTTAACAAATAAGAAATTACCGTACGTGTGATAATTTGACATGAATGGTTTGTTTAGTCAGGTCTACCTTAGCCTCCAGAGGAAGTAGTCGTCAATGTCGTAGAAATTCCTGCCAGTGTCTAGGATAACTGCAAACCTGTAGGTCAGACCCAGGCTGTCTCGCACCAGTGATATCCTGGGAAAATTTGCAAGTTTTAACAAATCGACTGGTTATCTAGAGATTAGCCCACTCTTACTGTCTAAATAAAAGATTATTGTATTTGGGAGTCCATTACTTATGGGACCCCGGTTGCCCCCTTATCAGTACTACTGTCTCTCATTTCGCAAATTTCCCTGCCCTTCCAGGAGACTTACCTCTCGTGGGCCAGACGGCCGAGCTTTTCACTGGCTATTCTGAGAACCACCATTACTCCGTGCCCAGAAGGGTTCTTGAGTGGGGTCTCTATCAGCTCGTGCACTACCTGGGGGGAGGTAGTGGGTTACGGACAATACTGAACAGTACTTAGCGGTCACGGGATTCTTTAAAGTTAATTCCTTGTTAAACTAGCCCGGCTATTAGTTAAAACATGTAATAAAACATGTAATAATGGCAGTTATTCCGAAATGTAAATTTTCCAGCTCACAACTAGAATACGGCATGAAATATAACACGACCCTCACTGCTCACGGACCTGCATGGTTTCGGTAGTTGTGAAGCTCTCTGCGAAGTTTACACTGCACACGCAAACCATGGCTGCTGAATAGTGCCGGGTCAGGATGTTTACCCGGCAACTTACTGGTTTTGACTGCTGATCACTGGTAGGGAGAGTTAGAGTTAATAACCAATATCACCCAGGATTATATTGGTTAAAACAAGCAAATATTGAATCGAGTCAGCCCTTGGACGAGCAGATGATAATTAAAAATATCTTTCTAAAGAAGTTATAGCCCCTATTTAATCATAATCTTGTTTCAAACCTGATCATTTTCTTGACCACCATCCTATCAAATGTAGCGTCTGCTCTAATCAAAGGAGACTGTGCGACATCGTCTCGGCCGTTCTTATAGAACTGTAACAATCGGTTATCGGTTATCAGCAAATTATGGTTTATTATTAAAATCTGACCTAAGTTCTAGTACCAGCCCAAAAATATGCAACAATCTGAATATCATGAGACTTTGTAACCCCTAAATTATCAAAGAATATCCTGACAAAAAGTGTCTAGTTTGTAAGTAGTAGGGGAAATTTGCAACAAAAGTGCAGGATAACTGCTCGTTTCGTGACCTCCTTACATTCCTGAAAGTCTTCCAAATAACCAACCTCAAGACCACAGTACTGTTCGGGAATACTGGACCAGTAGACCTCGTTCTTTAGAGGCAGGTCCATGGAGACCATGCTAGCAATGGACTGGAGACAGTAGGGTGTAGCTGTTACTTGGACCACTATGATGTTAGTAGCTAGTAAAACTCTCTTGTTATTCACCCATTCCTGTCCTGTACCATCTGTAGTAAGAGATCATTAGAAGTTTGCAATTTTGTGGACTCCTTATCCAACAAAGTTGGTCTGGTGGTAGCAAAATAGCATTAGATTACTGGAATATATAAAAGTGTTTTCTCAGACTATTCCAATCCTTCATTATAGACCCCGGACTTACCGTTGGTTTGAATGTGAGCATCATCGTGGACCAGTATACAAAGTGTGTTCTTGGTTTGTTCAGCCTTTTCTAGAAACTTCTCAAACTTATCACTCTGGTCACTATCACCTGCAATTGGTTACAACCTGTGAACCTATCGTTAAGAGCGTCTCTTCCGAACTTATCTGGCTTGCAGATATTCAGCCTGTATTGAGCTGGCCACAGATTTCCAGGGTCACATTTAGGAAGCTTCTTGAAAGATATTTATCGAAAAGAAAGCAAGTTATTTATATCGCCACGCTCGGGTGATGGTGGTGCGGGAGTTACATACCTTTGAACACATACTGCTCGACTGTGGCGAAGTCTGGTGCATCCTCTATTGAGAGTGCTTGAAGGAGTTCCGAATGCAGAACTCGTTCCACTGTCTGAACGTAACTCGAGTAGAAGGGAGCTGTTATAAACCCTACATTTATCTGAGGATAAGGGAGATGTTATAAACTTATAAACCCTGCATTTATCTGAGCAGAGAGATGTTATAAACCCTACATTATTATCTGAGAAGGAGGGAGCTGTAATAATTCTAAAATTCATCTTAGAAGAATCGGATGTCATGAGCGAAAGTTTTAATAAAACTGGACGTCATCGGAATCTGAGGAATTACTTAATCTAATCTAATGTTGTCATTTTTAGACCACTCTTTGTTAGGATTATAACGGACTGTTAATATTATCACGGCCGAGTGATGAGGTTATTTCCGGAGCGGATTAAACTAGGTATTTTATGGTATTTTATGGTACATATTTCGTGATATTTGGTGGTATTTAATGGTCCGACCCATCTATTGATCCCAACTAAGGAGCAGGCTGGTCTCGTTTGTCACATTTTAATTTGATTCTGACGTGTTGTCATCGACAGTACTGAAAGGAGATTTGACCCACTTTGATTTGATGAGAATAATTAAGACAAGGCCTGGGCCTAATCTTATTGGCTATTTAATTCCTTCTTCGAACGGTTTAATTAAAATCAAATTAAAGGAATTGATCTGTCCATTATCTTATCGGACCGGGCACGAATTTGTCAATAAATAGCAATTGAATTATTTTCCTTTAATTAGCCGGAATTACAGAACTTGCCAAACCTTAGTAAATTGAGAGAGGTCAAGATTGGATGATTTGTTTCCGATCGCTCGGAAAGTAGAAAAGAGCTGTTCTCCAACTTGGATTTGTTCTGCTGTCACGTTCCTGTTAGTGTTATAACAGATCATGTCAGTATTCAACGGGGAATTCCAATAAATTCTTTTACGAAAAGTCAGAAAACTGGTAAATATTTGCTTCAAAATCAACGCTGGGCTATTCCGACAAAGTGAGGAGAGCCATTTTAAAAGTTATATAGAAATACTGTCTACCATGGTAAATGCGTTTAGCACTAAACACTACTCAGTTATTGACTACATGCATTACCTCAAGGAACATAACACAATAGTGTCCACAATAACGGACAGCTCAGGCTTCAGGTTTACGATCGCTTCTTTCTTCATGACTTGGTGGGCGCTCTTGAACGGTGACTGGAACTTCCCCCCTAAGCTAATGAACGACAACTTCATTAAGTTATACTTTAAATTATACCGTGCACAATGAGCAGCACAAAAACAGTTTCCTCAGCATAACATTTTATTAATAATAATTACGTGGTAGAAATATCTAGAATATTTGAAATTCCATGTGCTTGGCCCGCGGCTCAAAGATAAGAACTCACCCTGATCGGAACTGTTTTAACATGAGTAGGAGCTCGTCAGCGTTTCCAAAGGACACGCTCAGCGGGGAAGAGCACGTGGCTTTAATGTCCTTCCTGCTTTCCTGGACCACATCTATCTCCTCCTCTATCTCTTCTTCCTCATCTGGAACAGGACTGGTGACGTCACGAAACAGTGATGGTGACGTCATACTGGTGACGTCACTGAACGGTGATGACGTCAGCATTTCACTGGTATATCCTCGGAGTTTCAACAACAAATTGAGACGAAATATCATACCTGATAGGTCATCATCCTCGGCCAGTTCGTCACCAACAGACCAGACCAGAGAACACAGGTGTCCTGGACCACTCACTATCACTACAAACTCCGGCTGCCAGAACTTCTCGTTCTAAGGAATGGTGGTTAAGACTCGAGATGTAAATTTCGGTATGAATCCCTTTCATTGTCGTTTTACTGGGATAGAAAATAATAAAAGCTGATCAATCAATTATTATTAAGCACTTTTAAACAGACCAATTACCTGAATAACGAAGGTGAAGACGGGTATTCTGCTCTCATCCGTCTGTTTCTTACTCTTGATGTTGTTATAAGCCATGTCAATCCCGTCAGTCAGGTTGCTACAGAAGGTAACATCTAACTTGCCGTTGGAACAGGAGCTGACAAGCCTAGCCAAGCTAGCTATTTGAGACTGAGAGTAGGTGTCACCTCTCAGCGCCAGATCAGCTGTAACGTTAGAGTTCAGCTCCCGTGTGGCGGAGTCTATGAAGGCATCAGCATCCTCTCTTCTTATTGGGGTGTCCGGGAGGAGAGAAGCGAAGTAGTGGATAGCTAGGAGGGTCGGGAGATGGGGGGATTGCATGTTGTACACACTCGTTCGTTCTAGACCTGAGCAGGGGCGCTTTTTAAAATGGTCCTTTTGGGGTGGTCTCCTTACTTGCAGTAAACTTTAAGATCATTTCAAACTTAAAAGATTCATTCTAATTATCATAATATTGTTTAATCATAGCATTTGCTTACCTCCATCGTAGACGAAAGTGCCTTGCAACAACAAGCAGACGGGTAACATCTTGCTAGTGTTCGAGAGGACGGGGATATCCTTCTGACAGACCATGATGATAGGGAGTGCTATGTCAGTAGGTGTGTTGTGTTTGATTGGATCCGGTAGGATTGACGGTGTAGATACTGAAATAAATTCATTATCAGCCTCCTGATCGATCATTGACCTGTTGGGAGCAGGTGGTGACAGGGTTGGCATGTGTTTGAAAGTGTAATGCTCTGCCTGCCGAAAAGTCTATAATTTCTAGGGAACTCAAAATATCATAATTCATATTAGATGACTAACTTTCCCCTGGGTCCAATCCTTCCCAGCAGATTTTCTTTGACGGCGGTGGAAGTCCAAAGGAGGAGTAAACTGTGCTTTGAGGGAGCTGTAATAAAGGAGGAGGTGAGTACAATGTGGCACTTTTAAACGTGCTGGTAAGTTAGTACACTTAGAGTGGAGCACCTCGGCCCCTTCTGTTTACTCTTAGATTACCAGTCCGCTCCTGGCATTCCCTCCTTAGTCGATAAGGGGGTCCCATCATTAGCCCCTTATCATTAATAACATATTCACTTAACTTATTATGGAAATTTTTTGGTGCACTTGCAAGTCAGGGATTCTATTTAGAGGACGGTAAATGAGTTTACCTGCGTCGGAAGGGAGATCTGAAGACAAGGTACGCTGAGATGTGGTCCGAAGACGCTGGGGGAGCCGGGGAGGATGTCCAGGAAACTGCTTGCTCGTGATCGTCTCCGAGTCTCCGGCAGCACTGAGCGAGACAGTTCAGTTAGTTTACTGTACCGTAGGATTAGTCCGACATATTTAACCTACTGTAGGGTGGATTATGTGCAAACAGATGTGTAATATACAACAAAACCTGAGAAAACTAGATCTTACTGTCTCGTTTCACAGTTCTATAAGAACTACCTTTCCAGCCTAAAGGTTTTCCGCGTATGAGCTCTCCATTACTCGTAGTCTCGATGTAGTACTTCAAATGTTTCTGTTTCTTGGGCTGGGTCGCTAGTTTCAGGTTTATGTGGTGTGAGAATTCTGTGAAAAACCGGAATCTTCTTCCACATCCAACGCAATCCCCGACAAATCCCTGAAACATGCAGGCGTTTAGTCCCTCATAATTGGTTACCCGTCTCATTACACCCAGCTATAGGTTTATTATAGACTGAAATATGGGTTTTATTTTGACGAAACATTCCCGTTTGCTAATGACCCTCAAGGTCGTTACCACGAGTTGTGTGATAGCTCAATGTAGGAGGCTCATAGATGGTTACTAGCATATTCTTGTATGAGGCAAGCAGCACACACACACACGCGACACTATCAGTAGTAACGAGCCCGTACAGTCTCGCTTCTGTGGTACGTCTAGGATTCCTTACAACACCCCGTGAAGCACTACACAGGCAGAAGAATAACTATTTCATTTGTCAAATCTAGACACGGGACTTGTAATGTTCTAGGTGACTGGTCGCCCGACTAAATGCTAATAGTCCCCTGATCAGCGTCCTTCTTACAGGTCAACAATAGTCAATAGCTGTCATCTTACTAAAAGTACTGGCGATCTTTTAAAATAGTTGATATCTAGGAATATGCTGATCTAAAGTTTTTATTTACATGACATATTAGTATAGTGATTTTTGATATAAGTCGGGATTTTTAAGAATAATAATGGTCAGGATTGAATCTCCGATAATTTAGGAACACTATGCCGTCACGCATGTACGGTACAGGAAGTTAATAGTTTAATGGTGACGAATCTTACAGTTCGAACAAACGACCTTGACGATCTAACGATAACATTTTTGTCAAATATTTCAAACTTAAAAGCATGCAGAATTAAAAGGCAACAGTTAACAAATTTCTTATGCTGATGATTTAAATCACCCACCCATCAATAATCACCCGTTTATCACCAACCTGAGACGCTCGTCCTTCCTCATCTGGAAGATAGGATCTGTCCACCACTGCTAAGAGCGTAGTAGCTCCCAACTGAGGCGACCTTGCTCCCACTAAAACGAAACCGTTCGGGCGGTTTATCTGAAAAATATTGGCAGGTTAACTTATGGTATTTCATCTTCACGTCACTACCAATAGATGTGGATTCTGGTGGGGAGATGAGGCATATTCGTTCACCTTAAAATTGACAGGTGATCAAACACGTTATCAATCTATGCAATTATACCATAGAATAATTGGGAGGTGATGCACATTTCACACCATACATTTCCTTGCTCTTCAAGGTAAACAAATATGCCTCTCTACCAGAATCCACATCTATACATTAGTCTTTTGAGAAATTACGAAGATATTGATCGACAATATCCCCAATGACAAATTGCAGCAAAGATATGTTTTTCAGTCCTATAATCATTAAGAATGGTTCAATAATGCAATGTCTGATAAAATTAAGTCCGATCTTTAGGGCAGTTAAAACAGACACCATGCAGCAGAAATCATGATTTCTTGCAAAATCTTACATTAAGATTGAAATTGATAATTACCTGAAATCCTTTGTTGGACAGAAAGTTGAATCTAATCTCTCTGCCATCCTGACACCGACCTGCAGAGTAAGGTTAAAGTTAGAGTTGGGATTAAGACACTCACTGATTAAGACACAGCTAAGAGAGTCGCTACTTGTATACCACAGGTCGTTAGCTGGTGGTTACGTCTAACTGCGTTCTAGCGGGCAGACAGCACACTCAACTCCCCGTCCCTTATCTCCCTACCGCGCGCTACTTCACCAGTTGTAAGGTTTAAAGTTCCGGGATGCTACAGAGATGATAAACACCCAGCTGCTCGAGCAGGGACCCCCGTGAGATACTGGTAACATTTACCGGGTATCCCAGAGTGGACAGCCGTACCAGGAGCTATCCTAATGACACTGGTCTGTTTTTATAGCCATGGCACTGGTGACGCAGCAAGGTACTTTTAACACTTATATTGTCCCCTACACCGACCCAACTTGATTAACGAAGCCTTACGCCTCGAAACTCATGTACCGTGAAGTAATTATAATCGCAAAAATAACAACCCTAGAATCAGCCAGACTCTAATTTATGGGATTGTTTAAAAAAGATTCCATTACAGCAAAAAGAAATGACAGTCTATTAAAAAGATCTAAAGGAACCCTTACCAATATCAGAGCATCCCATCTCGCTGAAGGAACTGCTACTGAAGGAGGGTGGTGTCACCATCGTCAAGCTCACGGGACTAGAACCTGAGAATGTGATGTTAGAAGCTGTGGAGGTGATGTTAGAAACTGGGGAGGTGATTTTGGAAACTGGGGAGGTGATTTTAGAAGCTGGGAATGTGATTTTACAAGCTGGAGATGCTGCATACCATGAGCAGCGAACTAGAACCGACGTACAGTTTAACAGATAAGGAGAGAACTGTCAAGTGCAATCGCTCTGTACACCTAGCAACTAGTACTCGACTGTTCTGTGCAACCGGCTGGATTGGTAGCCAGTAAACTGGAAACAATTGCCGTGTTTAACCTTATCTTCTCCCAGTACAGTGTTAAAACAGCTTATTGTTGCGTCAAGTTAATCGAAAATTGATACTTTGGCGACTTGATCAGGTTATATTCATTGGCCCGAACCTGATAAAAACAGACGAGTGCAGTTCTTTTAAAAATACGTAAACCATTACCTGACATTCTAGAAGCATGTGAAGCGGGTGAAGAAGGCGAGGAATCTCCTCCTCTTTTTGACTGTAGCCTCTTCTCGGGGGTTCCTGTGTCTGAAATGGTGAGTTCTCGTGATCCGGACGTTATTCCACCGAGCAGGGCCGACTGTAGCAACATGACAGACGGAACCAGCACCAACTCACCAGTACGCTCAACTCAACTGTTTAAAGAAGCTGAAACCAACCAAGGACGTACTTGACATACAAAGCCCGCTGCTTTCTTTTGTAATTCTGGGGAAGTCATACTGGGCAGGACTCAACACATCATATCGTTACTATCGTGTCTTATTGTTAAAACAGTGCAAGCTCTCGGAGACCTCCGATAATTGTTTCATATCAGCACATACTTTCCACGACACTCCGGGCCACAGTTCACCAGACATAGTGACAGGATCCGTAGTTGGTTTGACAGCACACACGGTACAATTAGCGCACATCCACCTTACTTTCATCATCATCACTACTACTGGCACTGTTAGGACACTTGCAGCGAGGCAGCCATGCGGCAAACAGGCTTAACAACACACACTTTCAGTTAAACTAACATTATGTGATGGGGTTTTAACGTAAACAAGCAGTAATTACACCTGACTCCAGCGTAAACACTCAGTAAATGCAGGTAGTCACTTTTAACGAAAACAATCAGTTACCGATACTCAAGTGCCGTACTCACTTCAAGCATTCACAAACGATAAATGATACTCATTTTAAAGGTAAAAGACAGTCATTTCTACTGTCTTTAAACGTAGACAAACATACAAAAGTAATTGCTACTCACTTTAAAGATGGCGATCACTAAACAGTAAACAGTAAACAGTACTAATTAAAAGAACAGTAATTGATAATGGCACAAAACAGCAAATAGTAATTGGGTTTTGGTACTCACTTGCCATTGATACAGGGGTAGAGAAGTGTCGAATGTTATCAATAGTGGTGGGCAGATACAGCCTGGGCAGCGGCTCCATAAATCCAGATACACTTAACATGCAGAACACTCCTAGACAGAGCAAACGTTACAACCAATAGTACTATCAAACACAAGTTAAAATAAATGGGGGAGGTTTAAAAAATAATGGGGAGAGAGAGGTTTAAAATTGAGTGTCAAACACGTGAACGACAGTGCAGAAGTTGTGGACATGTCAGCCTTAAAACGGTGGTCAGCCCTAATTCGAGTAGTGGGGATACAGATCGGATAATTGCAGACCTGTTTTAACACTTAGGACACATTGGACCACCCTATCAATGGTCTATTATAACGCGGCACTTGTAGACCAATGTTTCAAGTTAGAACATGACCAGGTTTCCACTGAACGTTACTGAAGAACTGCCGGGAAATTAATGACCTGGACATGACTTGCAGGCAGCGTGAGAGGGTGAGGAAGAAGACAATTCAAATCTGTAATAATTGGATAACAATGTCATTAACAGGATAGGCCGCTATCGCTAAAATCATTATTACTTTATTGAGAGGCTTATTCGATATATCAAAATCATAATTGTTATCCACAGTAAATAGGCACTGCCACCAACCCTGTTAATTAGATTTGGTTTTAACAAAGTTTAGCCGGAGGCTATTGCAGATAAGCCTGGTCTCTCAAGTACCAGACTTTCTCTCTCATTCAGTCTGTATTTTCATTGTGAACTTGGTGTCATGTTTTTTAATTCATTATCAATATTTTACCCCCTATACTCTCTGATCTCAAATAGGAACGAACTTTAAAATCACGTTATTGGACAGCGGAATCTACGATTACGATAAAATTGTGCGGTGAAGTCATGACTGTACCTGTACCTGGGACCCCAGACCTTGTGCTCGTGAAAGTAAATCGCAACTTATCGGTTCACGAGCCTTTAATCAGGATTCTAAATATCAGTAACCGGCTAAATTCCATAATTAGAGGCTCCCACCTCAACATGAACAACCAATTATCTGTGAAAACCGTACAAGAACAAAAAGTACTAGCTACTATTAAACGTCACTACAAAGCGGAAGACGGGACGACGATCAGAACAACTCCGATTCAAAGGTTGGCGGGGGATTATAATTTTATTCTGCTGCTCAATCGGCTCACCTTGTTGAAGAGAACTCGTAGGACAAGCCGCCAGTTGAGCCGCGCAACCAAACGAAGTACATCGAAAATATTATGACCGTTTCACGCAACCTAACACATGATATATGGAGCAAGTAGGACGGCCCACATCTGAATATATAGCCGTGTTGGGCACTTCTCTTTTGACTCATTATCACTACTGCTTACTTTTTTAGTAGTGTGATCTGTGGTGCAGGGGCTGTGTGGGGTGTGGAGCTGTGCAACGCCGCCCTCTTCAAAGGGAGCCTAACTCCCTTCTTGCTTCCGTTATGTGGTCTATCATACTGTCATGTGACCAAATCCAGCCACTCGTAGGGTGGAACACACAGCGAAACTGTCAACTTAATTCAATAATGCTAACTAAGTTTATTATTAATCTATCGAGTATAATTCCGTTTATTAAGGGTGTATTGTTTAGGAAAAAGGGCTAGAAATTGCCTGTTTGTGTTAAACCATTAAGCCGCATATTTGATGTGTCGGTAACTTAATGAAACAAATCAATGAGAACCGCTTTTACCCCGACCTTTAGCAAAGCAACTCTTAAATTGTGTCCCCTTCTTTGATTTAAGATCTTATTTGATCATTAAACATCATGTTAAAAATGAAAGATAATCAAAACTGAGAAACCAGACCGATGGCTCTTAAATCACTCATATTTTACGTTCAACAAAGAACCTTCAGAGAATTGATAGTGAGAAAATGAATCTTACAATTAAGAAGGAGTCACGCAGCTTTGCTCGGAGTACGAGTCACGCAACTCTGGTCGAGGTCTAACTTTAGATCACATGAGGTGCTACTCCAATTGTATACTCTTAGGCTTGGCTCTAGACTCTGTCCTGAGTACCTTTCACCAGATACTGAACGTCAGGTTTCTCTCACCATTTTAAATTTTTGTCTTTCCCTTTGAGCATTACAACATCTGAACGTGGCCAGTCCCTCGCACCTCCCTATGGACTACTTTGTACCTTTGAGATGACTATTGAGACTGGTTGGACGGACCCTAGGAAGGTTCTCAAGTGCCAAATAATCAATCATTAGTACGAGAGTGGAGGGGGAGAGGATTGTGCAGTCGGGGCTATGACTTTCAGCCAGGATTCGGAGCATGACAACGAGTTTTAAAACGACTGAGGTACTCTGGAATCTCGAGAATTACTACAACTTCATACTCAAGTATTTTAACTCTACACGTCTCAAGATCTCGAGTGTTTTAAAAGTGAAACAAAATACCAAACTGTAAAAAGTAACAAGGCAAGTGGCAACCCTAATCTTTGATTTAATATGTGTAAGCAATGATAAGCGAGACTAGCAGTTCGAGCTACTTTACCAAAGTCAAAACACGCCCTAAAAACCCTGTTATTATCGCTGGCTAGATCCCTTTTTGACAGGCGGTAGAATTATTTTGATCCAGCTGGCATAAGACGGTAGCATAGTAATTTGTATCGGACAAGATGGGAGTGAGAGGGTGATGGCTTCAGATGAGCTGGTAGCGAGTAGGACGAACAGACCCACTGAGGATTATAACAACCCGCGGGGCGCCCTCTTTATTTTATCGGATCCTTGGTCCCAAGTGGCGTCACCCCTAATTGCTATGGAGCGGTTGAAGGATGAGCCGGGTCTTTCGGAGCGGCCAGGTCCTGAATGGGCTCAGGTTAACAAGGTGGACGCTAGCTGCTATAGAACAACATTTGTCGGCGTGAATTGTTATGATGGTTGCTCGCTGTGGAGTGTGGCGACTCCCATTGTACCTCCCCTCTAGTACCACTTGTTAGACTATGTGTAGAGACCCTCTAAATGCCAGGGCTATGTTACAGTCTTTCGGAACTGTTCACACGTTTGTTTGTTATTAGATAATCATATGCGAGCTCAGATCACTACTCTCACTACCAATGAGCCTGTAATTCACAGGGTCGGTATTTTCACACTCGCCCTGGGCATGCAACAACTCTCAGCTGCAGCTGAACTCTCGCCGCTGCTGAACTACGGAAACTTTAACCTGGCATCGCTCGACATGGCTTTAAATTCGTTGCTAATTTTACGTCGGAATTACAAAAAAGTTGGGCAACTGTACAAGTATAACGACTAGCTGTTCTAAAGATGCCGTCGCCCAGAACAAGAGCAAAAGTAGCAGCTGATAGTCAGTCGCGGAGCTAAGTATTTGAAACTAATTACAACTGGTCGCATATCAAAGGTGTTCGGGCAAGGTCGAGTTTAGAAAGCAAGAATTTAGAATTCTGACCATCAAATGTCAACACGGTAGATTAATGCCAGAGGTGTTGATCATGGGCTTCATTTGAATAATAGCAGATCATTAATGCAGTACAAGTTTGTCGTATGAGATGTGGTAGAGGGGGTACTGGTAGCAGGCCGTGCTAGGTCATAACTAGCCGAGTGGAAGCAGTACAGTGACCATACGGTCCATTAGTCAGTGGTCCGTGTCTTCGCAGTACCCCTTATCAAATGTCAGACCGCTTCTCACAGCAGAGCTGCTACTCTTTGAAATCGGCTCACTCAAGGTAAACAACAGGTAACAAGTGGAACTGACTAACACTAGTAAGCAGCTAATAACGTGTTGGTCATTGCCCGGTAGTGAGGTGGAAGTAGCCGGGTAGTGAGCTCTCAGAGTGTGCTAAAGCAACCGGGCACGCGGGTCATCACAATACGCGCAAAAAACTACACTCACGTATAAATATATCAGTGTGATGATAAGCCCATCAAAATTACAAATATTAGATCAAAAACTACTCCTTCTAGTGGACAGTTTTACAATCTAATAACTCCGCTATTAACTAATTGTCCGCACCACGCGGTCCAAGGTTTGACCTGGTGGTACGACCTGATCTTAGATCTACAGTCAGATCATACTCGTTAACTGCTCTCTATAATATAGCGGATAGGGAGGTGTCCGTGTCAGTGAGGGAGGTGTAATGAGTTAATATGGAGCGTCCTGCCTCTCAGCTCCTGCCTCCCAGATCCGGCCAGCTCTATTACGGTAAATGTAATGCTGGACTCCTTCCATTCTGGAGGTTTAAAAAATGCAAGATCAGCTGAGGAAAATGACCGTCATCAGAAAAAAGCGACGGAGATATTGAAATGTTAGTCCCGAATAGCACTAGAACTGCTTAACCGTAGCGCGGGACCGAGGCAGCAATACAAATTTATTTGACTGTATAAAACTAGGTACTTATATATAAGTAGCAGGGGAAACCTGTGAGTTACCCCCATAGTAGGAACTAGACGCAATGCAGGACAGTAATAGATAGTCCATTAGAACCTCCACACACCTATCATAGCCGGTGGGGGAAACCAGGCAAGAAAGGAAACTAATTTGTTGCTGGAGAGCGCGGGGTGACCCACCCCCAACCCCCAGTCTCATATCTCACGGTCCATTGACTTGGCCGGGTCTCTAAACGACCCGTACCCTCGCGCTCTCGGCTGCACGGCAACAGGACCTGTTAAACACCCAAACTGTTCAACACTACACACCATCACAGCGTGAGTTACCCCTACTCCCAATTTTCTTCCTGGGTTCTGGAACTTCTAACTGTATGGTGAGGAAGTTTAACACAGGTTGCGAAATAATCACGTAGAATAACTTTGCGGAGTTGAGAGATGACACCAAGAGCCGGCATGCACTAGCTTTAAACTAGCTTTAATTTTGTGGCTAAAAGAGAGGAGATGGAAGGGTATTGGAGGAGTTTAACGCTTTGCAAGTACCGAACACAACTGTTATAAAGTATATATGACTTCTGGGCACTGAATTTCAATTGAGCATGGTTTGGTTCTTCAACATGTTTGTCTAGACAAGTCTTGACTTCCAAAATGCTGTCTTTTTAGAAACATTTAATCTTAAAGCCATATTTCTGAACCACCTTTCTCATTCTGATAGAAAATCCACTTTATACT